GCACCGGACATGAATTGTAATATTTTTCTTCCAGTGACCTTGAACTTCCCCAAATGACCTTGTGTCAAAGTCAGGACACACCCTTGGGCCATGGGCAATCTTTGTGTGAAATGAAAACCTACCAAGATTATCTATAAGAAAGATATGGACCAGACAAAAATTATGAAAATTTTTTCCAGTGACCTTGAACTTTCCCAAATGACCTTGGGTCAAGGTTATGACACATCCTTGGGTCATGGGCAATCTTTGTGTGAAATGAGAACCTACCAAGTTTATCCATGAGAAAGATATGGACCGGACACGAATTATGAAATTTTTCTTCCAGTGACCTTGAACATCTCCAAATGACCTTGGGTCAAGGTCATGACACACTCTTGGGTCATGGGCAATCTTTGTGTGAAATGAGAACCTACCAAGTTTATACTTAAGAAAGATATGGACCGGACACAAATTATGAAATTTTTCTTCCAGTGACCTTGAACTTCCCCAAATGACCTTGGGTCAAGGTCATGACACACCCTAAGGTCCTGAGCAATCTTAGTGTGGAGTAGTAGATTCTAATGTCCCTCTGTAAGAAAGATATGGACCGGACACGACTGCACAGACGGACGGACAGACAGACGAACAAGGTGATTCCTATATATCCCCCAAACTTCGTTTGGGGGGGTATAATTAGATGTTAGATCAGCTCGTATACTCACTAGACTGAAAGCTAACAATATCCTATAGAGTGTCATGTCAGAGGTCAAATTTGGAGCGGCTCAACTTATTCGCTTCAAAAAATATTTTAGATCGATAGAATTCAACTTTTTATTTGACCCTCTATGGGATGTTGTTAGATGTAAGATTAGTGAGTATGTAAGCAGATCTAACATCTAATTTTAATTAAAACGTATCTGAAAAAATGTTTCGATTTTAAAAAAAAAAAAAACTTAAAAAAAAAAATATACAGTTTTTGATAGGCCTGAATTTAGTCAGAGGTACTCCCCGTGGGCCACCATATTGGAGATCGAATAGGTGATTTTCCCTCATCTTACCAAGTTTACTAGGATGTAGCAGAAATATTTGTGGAAAATCTTTATTAAATAATTTTTATTTTAATAAAGGATGCTTCTTGAAAATTATTTTATAATTCAGAAAAATAATGATTCCTAATTCAAAATAGCAAATATAAAAATTTTAAATTGGTTGAACAATGAAGGAATATGAGCATTTGGACCTCCAGTATGGCGGGCGACTAACACAGTCTTCAACAAATCCCAGGAGTCCGATGCCCGGGACCTGGTAAAATTGGAAGCGGGCACGTGGAATTTGCACACTTAAAAGCCCGAAGGGCATGTAAATTCTAAGGCATAAGCCTTGGTATAATAAAATTAAATAAGACCAATAACACTAAATGTACTTTAAAGTCTTTTATTTTCCATCTAAAGTCAAGTTCAAAATAAAATTTAACTGAAATCTTATTTTACTGCGATTTCCAAGGAACTCTTCTGCAAAGAAGACACAAAAAGTGTACAGGTTGAAAACAAATGACGAGACTAAAAATTGACAGAATGGATTTCAGATCATTTCCTTGTCATGAAATGGCAAATAAGAATAATACAATAACTTGATAAAATTCTGGGCATGTAAATATTTGTTCGGGCTTGTGTAATTGGTTATCACACCTGCCCGAAAAAGGGCATTTGCTGAAAAAAAAAATTTGGCAAAGACTGCTAACAGGAAATAACTTGCTAAATTCTAGCTCATCGAAATTTATCTATACTTGTAAACATTTTAAAGTATACTTTATATTTCAGAAGAAGACTTCTGTGATTTTTTCAAAATTATGAAAACTTTATATATTACAAAAACTAATCATCATAATAATAATTTCAGATTAAGAAAAATATTTCATGTTTTGCTCATATTCATTCCCATTACAGTTTACAAAGCTACAATGTAGTAATTATATTGAAATATCATATAAATACAAGGCACAACTGCCGTTTTATTAAAGTGCCGCTTTGTAAAAACCATGTGCCTTTTTTTGGTAAGTGGATTCTCACTTCCGATTTTAACTCCTACCAATCGAGGCTATCATTTCTTCAAAGATAATTCAAAATATTTCATCAAATTTCAAGTTCAGAGCACATTTTCAACTTAATACAAAAAACAGAATATCTAATACCCAATAAAAAGAATTTATTAGTACATACACCCCTACTAATGTTATTGTGATTTAAATTCAAGACACGTGGTTTAGGTTGATCTATTCAAAGGTTATAGGGAAGAACCGGTTTTATAAATAAAATTGGCAGTAAACAGGACATTGCTATATATATTTTTGAAAACATGTCCTGTAATAAATGTTTTCAAAAACTCTCATGATTTTCAACAGAAAGGGGGTGGCTAAAGGAGGGGGTGTTAAAATAACAATATATCTTATACTTTTCGGCGAAAATAAGAGCTCACTAGTGACCGATTCGCTGGTAAAAACGTGTTTTATCTTCTACACTGACAAACCTTTGTTTGCCTTATATGGCTATTGTTATAAATGCGCACAGAGGATCTTACCACGAGCAACTGACCAATCGTTGGAATGAATAGCAACGTTTACGCCAAATACATGTTTACATTTTACTTCGAACACGTGGTTCACCTCAATCTATGAACATGTCAATGGAATACAAAATAATAATAAAAAAATATTCTTAAGAACAAAATACAAAGATAAGAAACTATTAAAGATGTTACGGGCGTTTTTAATTTATTGTTTACTGGAAAATTTGTTGAATAAAATGTAGTTTGTGTCTTGTTCAGAACACCAGCGCTTCAAAGGTAAGGAAAACGAGCAGCATCTCTTATGCATTTAAATGGACAAAACTTTGTTTACGTTCGTGATCACGTGTTTTTCCACCTGGCAATTGTATTCACCGATAGTACAACAAAGGAATTATTACAGACGCAAATCGCTTTTGCAGTATGACTTTCAGAAACCTAGACTTCCACCGTTTATTGAACAAATGAATTGTTTGTCATTATGAGCATGAAAATAATATTTTTAAAAATGCTTTTTCTTTACAATAAGATAAGATTTTCCTTTTTTTTCAAGCGTAAAATTCCATTCGTAGTAACCCATAATGCAATACTCATTCATTGATTGGTCAGTTAAAATCATGCTGGTGCCTCATTTGCTAACTAATTCCAAAAAATATAGTCCTGGTTCCCATGCAAAAAATATTTTTCCAAAAAGAAATTTTAATTCATGAATGCAGAAAGTTGTATTATAGAGAATACTTATTTAAGTTTGAATGAATGCAAGGGAGATGGATTGATTGAAGTACATTTCTACAGACATTATCAGCTAGGGTGGTAAAAACTGAAACGCAACATAACTTTTTTGTTTACCATGTCTCCACGTGCTAGTCACTTCCTAGCCACATTTCCGTGAATAATTTACCCTATCTCGCTGAAGTCAACTCTCGCCAGAGTCACTGCCAGAGCACTCTGAACTCATCATAATTTGCAAACACCGAAAAATAAAAGAATTAGTAGGGGTGACATAGGTGTATATAAACAATCCGTTCCGCCATTACCGTTCACGTGATGTCATCTCAAAAAGGAATCTAACGATTACCAAGAATATATTAGCTAAAGCACGTCATATTCCATGCTGTTTAAATTTAAAACTGCACCACTCATACCCACCGTAAATAATACACACTCTTAAAACTGAAATGAAATTAAAATCGTATTTTGACGCTTGATTTTCTGCCAAGACTTCTTCAAGTTGCCGGAAGACACTGAATTTGCCGATTGTACGCATGCGTGAGATATTCTAAAGCACGAAGTATACGGGCCTCGTATGCAGCTATATTTCCGGATTATTGAAACCAAAAAAAAAAAAAAAAAAATCTAGGGCGCTAGAATTTCATACATTGTTTATAAACAACATTTTTACACAAATATTTCTTATTGCATATTTTAATAATCAATTTACTAAGAAAATTTTCAATGCAACATTACACTTATTTCAATACAATGATGAAACTTAAAGCCCCACCCTGGGCCTCTATCCCAAAAACCCAGGGGTCACGCATTCTAAAGTTATAAGGTTTATTGATTATTATAAGCATAACAACAGTTTGACTGCTTGATCACAATGAAGAAATAAAAGACAATTTTCAAACTGCATATTCAGTACATGACAGTTTGCCCCACCCCGGAACATACCTGAGCCCCTCACCCCCGGGCCACAAATTTCACAATTTTGAAAGACACACCCTTGATCATCATAACTAAATACTTGGTTAATCTATTTAATACCTAAGAGCAGAGAAGAAGATTTTCAAGAATTAATGCATTTTCACTATATAATCAATAGAGCCCCGCCCTAACACCAGAGCCCCTGACCCTGGGGCCATAAAATTCACAATTTTGGTAGAGGCACTCTTGCTCATTACAACTATGTACTTATTTGGTTTATTTAATGCCCAGGAGCAGAGAAGAAGATTTTCAAAGAAATAATGCATTTTCACTATATACTTATTTAGCCCCGCCCTAACACCTGAACCCCTGATCCCAGGGCCATGAATTTCACAATTTTGGTAGAGGCACCCTTGCTGATTACAATCATGCAAACAGTTTGCCTGCTTGATGTCCAGGAGTAAAGAAGAAGATTTTTAAAGATTGCATTAATTTTAGTGGTTTTGGCCCCACCCCTCAGGCCCCAGGGGGGCAGGGATCATGAAATTCACAATTTTTGTTCCCCTTCACCCATAAATGCTTTATGCTAAATTTGGTTGAAATTGGTTCAGTGGTTGCAGAGAAGAAGCTGAAAATGTTCAAATGTTAACACACGACACACGACGCACGACGACGGACGAAAACAGATAGCAATAGGTCACCTGAGTGACTCAGGTGACCTAATAAAAAGGAATTGAAGAGGAATATCAAAGTTGAAGCTAAGTTTTTCATTAATTATAAACCATACAGACGTCTCTGTTGTCTTTATTTACCTGCTTGCATCCAACAACTGCAGCAAGTCAGTAAAAATAATCTGTACATTTTGAAAACTTGCTATTGCCCTGAAAAATAAAACAAAAAAAATTCTCTCACATAACGCAAAGTAGTAATTAGAATCAGTAATTAAAATCCTCAGAGGAGGAAATGAGCTTTTACTTTGTCAACAGTGTAATGTGTATGTCGACACTTATAAACTGATTAGGGAACTTTAAACTGACATTTTCATTTAAATCAATAGTGAGACATCACATTTTTCCTCCTCCCTATACAGGAAAATATTAATTACTCAAGTAAGGAAGTAATTTTTTGAAAATTGGTTTGTTCATGCATTTCCCCTTGAAATTTGGACCAAGCAAAAAACCCTTGACAATTTAGGAAAACCTCGAGTGCAGTTGAAGGATATGACATGTGATAATAGTACTTGACTGGAAAAGACAAAATAAATGTCCATGATAAATCACCTTCTACAGGACTGGATAAAATCCATGTGGATGGGACGTACATATCTATTGTGCTCTGTGTTTATGTGAGGAATAAAACAGAATGTTGGCCTCCCTATCTGAAGTAGAAAACTTGAGGACATCAGTAATACCTAATTTACAATCCAGATTGTCTAACGTCCAAACAGGGATCACAGATTTTCAGGCTGGGATCTCTAAAGTGCAGACAGAAATCAAAGAAACTGCACAGAAAAAGATCACAGAGATTCTAGAAAAACTTGACAAAGACGAACAAATACTGAAAGACATTGAAAAATCTGAACTGGATTCCGCTCAAGCTTTACAGAATGAGATCTTACAGCATTTGGAAACTGCTCAAAGTTTAGTGAATAGTGAAGACAAAATGTCAGCAGAAGGCACCAATATAGATACTGAAGTAAAACAGAAAGTAGACAATTTAAAGAGTTTTCAGAATTCCATTCGTTCCAGTGAATCTATCTGCTGGTCAGAGGACAAAGAGTCCAGCATTAAAAGAGACCTTGGGATACTAGATAAACCTTTTCTCCAGGCCCAAGTGTCCATACCGCCACAGCCCATACCACAGCCAACTCTTGGGGATGTGGCAGTTCTCAAAAAACTACAGATCAGTTCATCCACCAACATGGATATCACTCAGGGTCAGGATGGGGTCATCTGGATCTCCATGAATAAATTCCAGGTGATACAGATAAATGAAGGAGAAATCGGGGCCCAGTATTTCACCAGGACTGTCAATGACTGGATGGAAATCAACGAGATGCAGGGTGTAGCGGTCAACAGAGCTGGACATTTACTGACCACTGATAAAAGCAGGAGAACTGTAAGTCAGTTCTCTCCTCACAGGAAAACTAATATGGATCTTATTCGATGTGGGGACTGGTCTCCAACAGGGGGAATTTGTTGTTCCTCTGACCATAAAATCTTTGTCAGCCTCCTGAACAACAAAAGAGGAAAAATCTGTGTTTACACTTCTTCTGGAGAACTGGAAAACAGCATAGAAAAAAGTTCTACTGGAAAACCTATATTTTCATACCCATGGTATATTGCAGTTAATGAAAATAAAAACATTTGTGTATCAGACAAAGCAAAAAAGTCTGTCCTAGTTGTCAGTCAGACTGGATTACTTCAAGCAACATATCGTCCTACAAAAGGTACATTTGTTCCATATGGGATTGCCACCGACAAATTCAACCACATCCTAGTCGCAGATAGTGACAATAGTAAAATTCACATTCTGTCTGAGGCATGTGAAGTGCAGCTTCTCATTCAATGTAAGGATCTAGGCTTGTCCAAGCCAAGGTCATTGTGTGTGAAAAGTGAGGGGGAACTGTGGGTGGGGAATGGGGAAAAAGGGATAATTCAGCTACTACAGTATATCCAGTGATCAAAATAAATTATCGTGAATAGGCTACTGTTTAAGTGTGTGAATTAAATTTAAAAAAAAAAAAGAACAGCAAATATTTTCTCAGTTTTTTTTTTTTTTTTGAAAGATTTAATTTCCTTATCATTTCATGGCATTATCCTCTGTCAGTTCATTCATTTTCAAGAAAAAAAACCTTACTGGATCTGTTTTAACATTTTGTATAAAAAACCAGGTCCCTAATCATACAGTTTCTAAACAGATACTTTCAATATATCCTTCATTAAGGTGAAATACAACAGTGTCCTCTAACTCCAACGGTTGTAAAGCACCATTATAGACACTCAGAAGCATCACCAGCACTAAACTTTGACATTACCTGTTAGAGTTTAAGGCAGCTCTGAGTGGATCAACATAAACTTTCTTCACTGCCTGAAGAGTTCTATTGTACTCCACCTCGCTACTAAGTATCTCCATGGCGATGGGTGTTCTCTTTTCTGGATGGTCATGGAACTGCTTCGCGCTCTGAAAAAACCAAACAAATCTTCAATAGGCCTACACCACAAATATGGTTACAAAAAAACAAAGCACTCCTATAAGAAATCACATCTCCTGTTACTTTAGTCTGGGTCAAAAATGAAAGCTTTTTAATAATTGATTTTCAGTTAAATTTTCTTCAAATATAATTTAGTCCCGTGGGGATCCAGGTTAGAATAAGTCCTCAGTACCCCCTTGCTTGTCGTAAAAGGCGACTAAATGGGGCGGTCCTTCGGATGAGACCATATATTTCTTAAAAGTTTGGTCGAGGCCCCGTGTCACAGCAGGTGTGGCACGACAAGAAGATTTTTAAAGAAATTTCCTCCCTGCTCAAAGGCCGTAAGTGCCAAGCATAGGCCTAAATTTGCAGCCCTTCACCAGCAATGGTGACGTCTCCATATCAGTGAAATATTCTGGAGAGGGACATTAAACAGTATACAATCAATCAATCAAATATAATTTACTTCCCAGTGCTTATTTACAATATTTAAAAAATATCCTTCAATCTTCCATATTTTCAATATCACTTGATGCCGATTTTACCAGTCGTTCATATTTGCCAGTGAGCCTCATTGAACCAAATGTGACTCGTAAATTGTCTGCCTGTTGAACAAGTCGCTGATTTTTCTGTTGTCTTTGACGTCGGTTTTCTTCTTTTTCACTCTGTTCCATTTGCGCTTTCTCTGGCATGTCTGCTGGGGGTCTAACTGTCTCTGTAAATAAAATACAAAAGCTTTACTTAGGATGCTCTCTTGTATCCATGGTGGACATGAAAGACATTTCTTAATATTTGTAATTCATCATATTCATGTGTTTAATAAAAAGATAACAAATATCAATGTTATATTATGCAAGAAAAATGGACTTGAATTTTATTACAATCAAGCATGAAAATTAGAATCTGATGACCCAGAACTGTTCTTAAGATATTTGTTCACAGTTAAAGACAGATCATACACACTTTTTTTTTTCAAAATCATGAAAATAACAAATGAGGTCATGTTTTACTGCATACTGGATATCAATTTTTCATGTAGTCATACAAAGCTTACAATTTCTTAATAATTTGTGAATTTGATACATGTACATGTATTTGCATTATTCACAACCAAGACAGGTCCTAAAATACAGACATGTACCAATACCCACATTTAGATGTATCATCTGTCCTTAATAAGGTTCAAGATACATGCAAATAAAAAATACATGTAAAAAATTATAATGATACACATTTAATTCCAAAATGGAGGGGACAGTAGTATTGGTTTTCTCCTATGCATATAAAACAGACAAGCAATTTAGTATGCAAGAAAAGCAAAGAAAACAATATATTTGCTTTTTATCTGAATATAGTGAAAGTTGATCAAAGTAAAAGTTCCTATGTAGCTACTACATCAGTGCTTATAAATACTATGTCAGTGTTTATATCTAACAAGCACATTTAAAAGGAAAAGTAATCTTTCACTGAAAAAAAAAAAGAAGAAAAGAGTCCCAACCCTTTCAAAAAATGTTAAATGCAGTCCTATTTTCACCTTTAAATCAAGCAAAACTCTACAGAACTGAAAAGCAACTAAAACGTACTACCAAATGCTGAATACTGAGGAGAGTGAGTATAAAAGGATAAGAGTATAATCAGCATACTAAAGGTTTAGTGATGCTTTACCACTCAGACTCCTGTCTTTGACAATATCATCGTTTTCCTCGTCCAACTGATGTGAAGAGTCGTCGAGTGGGGGTGGGTCTACAGTGTTAGGACATACATTTATATTTCAAGACATGTTAATGACAATACTTAGAACACTCATTACTTGATAAGCTGCTTCACACAAGTATATAATATTTATTTAGATGAATTATGAAATACTGGCTTTTTATTTGCAGTTTGGTCTAATTCATAAGAATTCAATTGTGACATCTTCCGGAACTTTAAGACCACTGGCATTTGTGTTCCTATGAACTTGTCTCTTAAACATTAAAATTTGGATCATCTAATGGAGAACTATAACTATGTTCTAAATATTTAATTAATAGTAAACACCTAAGCATAATATCACAAGTACACATGCTAGAATAAATGTAGTCATACTTTTTTTCCTATAGAATGATACACTGTAAACAAACATTTATTTGTAAAAAGAATTATTTGATATTCATCAATCTAAAAGGAGACAATCTTTATGACTTCACATAAATTAGATACCATTTATAACAAATGCTTTGATTAAACACTTGTGGAAATCTGCAAGGAATCCCTATGAAATTTACAGATATTTCCTGCATGCAAATAAAAGTTGGTTTACAGTACTAAATAATCTACTTCTGATTAAAATTGTAATCACAGGAAATAATGTATCTGCCTGAATAAACAGAATATGTTAAAATATTAGCAATGAAAAATAAAATGTGTTCACTCAGTTATTTACTTCTTACATTAACATAATATAGAACATTTACTATAATTCTTTTTAAACTTGCATACAGATCATATTCTGACAAGACAATCTTGAGTTAGAAGAGTAACAAATATCTATATAGTAAGCATGAAATATACAGCATATTAATTATATGTATACTGACTATATAGACTGAATAAGTATGAAATACATAATCAAGGAGGCATTGTAATGGAGTTGTTCTAAAAATAACCAAACATAGGGTAAGATAGCATATATCCTGTTTAATATAGGTTCCTTTTTCAACTCTAATCTCTTTAACATTTTAAAGAAGCAAATAGAAATCATTCACATAAATATCTATATCTTCTGAAGCCAATAGTAAGGAGGATTAAGTTCTTTGCTGCAAGGCTACTTTTAAGCTTATCTATAAATATATATAGATGCATGGAATTTTTTCCTAAATTTCATTCATATTTTATTTTACTAGGTTAGGAAAGAGAAAAAGACAAAACTACAGCTTTTAAGTTTATCAACTTTTCCTATGCTACTCTTTGGACATTTGATCAATACATGTACAATAACTTAAAACTTCTCTTCTACATGTAAGCTTTCAAGCCCTAGATGAAGCAGGGGGTGAGATGGAGTGGGATGGTTATAAAGATAGTAGGGATTTTAGGTTGTAAAACCTTGTCAAGATTTAAATACTATCTGAAATATGAAGTATATGGTAAGAGTCCTGAAAAATTCCCCCATGAATGCATTTCTTCAAGCCTTAATAAGATTGATATATTCAGGATACTAAAGCAATGTAATTCTATATGAATATAAAGTATATATAAAACTCTTGACATCTAGTAATTGCTGCTGATCATGCAAAGCTATATGTAGATAATGATATACATGTAGGGGTCACATCAAAAGTTTTTTCATTTAAAACAGGTTATTATGATACATCTGATAATAATTCTATTCAACAACTTTGATATAAATTTATAAAACTGAAGCATACTGTTCTTTAGACTTTTGATACGACCCTTGCTGGACAATGACCTATTTACCAGAACTATCATGATCATGGTGTTGTGTGTAGTAATTTTCGATTTCTCGATCCTCTGGTTCAATGTCTGCATCAAGCAAGCAGAGAGAAAGTAAAATGACACAACGCTGCATGAAATGAGACTCACTTTCGATGTTATTCATAACATTAAAGAAACAAATTTATCATGCAATGTAAATTTTATGTCATTAAATGATTTTTTTTTTACTTTATAAAATAATTCTTATGAAAGATCTACCTGTACTTCATCTATTTTTCAACATGCAAATGGATGACAAACTTCTAAAAACAATGCTTCAACTAATCTATGCACAATGCGTAATACAAGTTCTATCATGATTTTTTATCACAGCTTATAAAAAAATGTTTTTAAAAAAGGATGATAGGCTTATAGGAAAAATAAAGCATGCACTGTTTAACTTATAAGCATTACAAGGAAAAAGATCCCCCCCCCCCCCATTTCCAATGTATGATGTTAATTCTAGAAACTAATTGTAATGAAGGAAGGCTATATTATATTTTTTTCAATTTTTTGGTCACATATATGCATTTGTCTTTCTTCACTTCAAATGAATTTCTCCATAAACACAGTTTCAGAAACACAATCATACTTCACCCCTTCCCTGCTAGTAAATTCTAATGATGATTCATTTTGTATTTTATACATGACCTATGTTCATTAAGATAAAATATGTTACTTCACAAAGAATGAACATAACTGCACTGCAAGTATTCCACTGAAAGGAATAAAAACTTTATTTCTCATGCTTTCATTACTTTTTCTTCAAGGTAAAATTATACACTGTGATAATTTTCTTTACCTCCCCAGTCGGCCTTGACCTCTTCCTCCTGACCCTCAGTTTGACCATGACCATTGATCCTGGTGACCTCTTCATCTTCATCCTCATAACTCTCAGCTGGTACAAGGGACTAAGACAAATTTAAAAAGACATTATTTTTATTATCCAAAATCCATTGTGTTAGCTACCTTTGAGTCATAATTCAATTTCACAATTTTCTCTATGTTGGGTCATTTCCATACTAACAATTATGACATAGCTGTTCAAAGTTCATGATTATTTTTTTCACTTATAACAGAACAAATTCTGTTTCCCCTCTTCTTGGGTCTTATAAGTACATTTAGAATTATCTTGTCACATGTAATGCACATGTAACAAATTAAGGCCCTTCCCACTCAAAGGTCAAAGGGTAATTATTTATGGTACAGAAGAAAGATCTTGTAAGATGCAATACATGTGAAACAAGAAAGTCCTATCTTTTCTCATTCAAAAGTTTCAACACAGGGTAATTTTTTTCAAAACAAACTTTTTTGAAAGCAGGGAACAATAAAACTATTTAAATTACCTATGTTATTTATGAAGGCAAGATCAAACTCCAGCTTTTGAATTTTAGTACTGTCATTAAATGACCTTTTTTTCCAACATAATATACACTTAATATTTTTATTAATCAACATTTTTCAAGTGCAAAAAGATTCAAAAATTTCTAAACAATCTTTAAACTGTGATTATTAATGGCCATGAACCATTTGATTTATTTTTTATTTGAGGAGATAAAAATGTTTTTAAAAAAGGATTTATTGTAGCATGCACTGATTTCACACTCAAGAATCACAAATAAGAAATGCAAATGACATACTTGCCAACCTCCAGCATGTCAAAATCTGGCCATGACCAATTGTAATGGGAAAGTAAAAAATTTTTTTCTGGTCATATATGCATTTGTCTTTCTTCACTTTATTCACACATATTTGCCATGATTAAATTTTATACAATTATATATACACAAAGTATTTGTGTATTTTATAAGTCTTTTATTGAAAAAGGCTTTAATTTACAATGACAAAAAATTCATACATAATTTGATTAAATTTACATGTTAAAAAAATTTGAGAAATTTTTTTAAGGTTTCATCATTTCAGTATTGACCTGAAGTAAGTGTGCATTTTTATAAAAAGCCTTTTCAGTTTCTGCTAAATTTGAAAGTATATCAATTTTAGTTTTCCAACATTATTTTTCCTCTCTCTTGAGTTAATTAACTACTGCAATATGTATATATTAAATGTGACAGTTAGGCCTATACTGTCTTTGATCACTTTATTTTATCTAGAATAAAGTTTTTTTTTTTATTTCTTGATAAGTACATACAATTTGTTTCTCTTGTAATGCACATGCATTCAATCAAGACATGTGTTCTCACTCAAAGGTCAAAGTGTAATTTATCTTTAGTCACTGCTGGCCCTGATAACGAAATATATGTGAAACAAAAGCCATTTTAATTGACTTCAAACAGGTGACTTTGTCAAAACAACACCCAGTTAATTGTTTACATCTGCATCCCTGATAATTAAAAGCCATGGCATTGTTTAAATAGATCTAAGCTTGGGTTGTAAGCTGGAAGTTAAAAGTGCAACCTTCTTTAGCAGGTACTGTCCTAAAACCAAATTCACCTGTAATACCAACATTTTTATTATTATAAATCAACATTTATTCGTGTGCAAAAGCATCACCCGCCTTTCATAAAAATAAACGGGTTATGGGTTTACCAATTTTGTGTGACAAATGCCATGAAATCTGTAGTAGATCAATTTCAACTATGAAATGAATAAAAAATGCACTTGGTTTACAGTATTCAATGATACACAGCTTGATTTCACTTTTCCTTTTACACCGTCTTACTTGATCTACAGAAGTAGATTTGATATTTCAGGAAGAAAATGGATAGCATTTGGGAAGGCCAAAAATATCATTGATGAAAATTCCTTACATCATTTTCTTTGAAGCATTGCTGTAATTGTGTCTATTTCTATTTGATTCCATTGTTACATCATTTTCTCTGATGCACTGTTGTGTCTGCTATTTTGATTAGATTCTAAGGACTTACATCATTCTCCTGTTTGCCCAGCTGTACTAAGGCCTCAGACAGGGTGCTGGTGACGTTATTCACTCCCTGAATCTCAGACTGTCCCAGGACATCAAACACCAACTGACCTGGATCAAAACAGTATCACTTTAGGCGTTAAACAAGAGGATCCAACTACATGTAGTTTAGTAATTGTTCCTACATGAATAGCAATAGCATTGAGTTTTCATTAGAAATAAAGCTGAAAATATTTGGACAATCAATGGCTGTTTATTGGACAATTAATGACTGTTTATTTCACTAAGACAGATTTACCCTAACCCTGAAAGATTTACCCTAACCCTGACAGATTTATCCTAACCCTGAAAGACTTACCCTAACCCTGACAGATTTACCCTAACCCTGAGCATTAACTCACCAGTCAGCTGGGACACAATGTCCCTGTGGGTGTATTCCAGGAAGTGACCGAGGTGTTGTTTACAGGAAGCCAACGCCTCGATGGCCTGGTCAGCCACGTGTGACCACACGTCCAGTTTACTCTGACAGAAGTAGACCTGGGGAGGCTGAACAGTTTTAGCAGGACGACCCTCCTTGTATGGGATCATCCAGTCAGAGTTTACTGAAAGTCAAATCATAAGATAGCGTAAGGCCTTAAATATAATTCTTCTATCCATTTCATTGGTTACAGAAATATAACATGGACACAGACTCTACTTTTTTAGCATCCATCATCAATATTAGCACAACATAAACCTTAATGAAAACTTCTTATTCGTTGATATTTTCCCTAAAATAAATTATCCCATACATAAAAACAAATGATTCTTATGCTTCAAATCCCCTTCAATCAGACAGAAATTAATGAGAAAGAAAACTGCAGTTATAATTATTAGGACCTGCTAGGTTTACACCAGTTGGAGTTTATACCCACCATGGTTGAAGTTTCCTATGATGCCTGTGGGTGAGGAGAACTGTAGCTCTGTCTTGATGCTTAACTGAACCAATATCTCCAGTCCTGGCTCTACAACAGAAATACACTCATCATAAAACACCCCAAAACTGTTTTTGGATCTTATATTCTAAACATTTCTGAACACTTATCTTAGAGGTCAAATGGAGTCATATTTCAGAGAGAAGATTAGTTAGTCATATCTTGATCAACACCAAAACTGTATGGTGATATCAAGTCAGGCATTGATCTGATCATCATCAATTTGACTCCTTCTTCCACTGATTAGCAATAAGGTTTTTGTCTAAAGATGTTTATTTTGCAGATTGAAAAAGAAAGAACAAAAGGAATGATACCCACCACTTGCTGCCAAAGGAACAAAAACATCAAACTGTCCCCCCTGATCTGTGGGCAGAATGTTACGTCTGCACACCTTAGTGAAGAAATCCATAATGTCTGCTCGGTATAATGTCTCCATGGTAACAGTGCAGCCATGAGCCAATCGCAGCTCTCCTGGCTCTTCAGAGTGACAAAATAGTCCTATACTCCTGAAAGATGTAGCAATTTTGATCATGCTAGATTCTTCCAAATTAAGACATAATTTCCCTATATTCTCACTGAATATTCTCAAAGAATCTTTACAACAATAAGTTTTTGTTTCAAATCATTTCTTTCTTGGTTATCTTGAAAAAAAAAGAAAAGTTATGACTCTTACATGTATGATTGGTTAACACAATTTTTTTTTTATCTAAGTAAAGGGAGAGAAAACCTACCTTGCCCTGCGTCCTGCCAGGACTTTTTCAAGTTTCATCATCAGGCCCTCTGATGTTGTTCCTTCATACTCATACACAACAGGAATCACTCCAAACAGTACCGCATCAACCAACAGCTGGAAAACAAACACAGCAGTGTTCAGAAAATAATCTGGACATAAGTTTCAAGAATGAGTACACGTCATAAATTCAGGGTTTTTTTATTTTTTATTTTTATCTTTCATAAAGATAGTCTGTCATTTACTATTGAATCATATTTTGCAAAATATGAATTTTCTTTGTGAAAACTAACTCAACAGTTTCATTATAGAATCTTGCTTATTTAGGTAATCAGACAGTAAAAAAAATCACAATTAAATTTTGATAAATCATATCATTGATTCTATATTCAGAAGGAATTCTGAAGAGTATAACAAGCAGTGACTGCAATACTCCAACTAACATCAGCTGCAGGGACTCGGGAGGAGATGAATACGACGCGTGGATGGTCGGCCTCCTCTATTCCTGTGGGTGGGAGGGTTCTACTGAGGGTCCTAAACTCTGTGGAGGTGGGGTAGGCCTCATAACCAGACATCAGGGTATCACTCCTACAATACATCAATAGAATGTATTCACTTGTTTGCATAAGATTAAAACATTTACATTATAAAAATTAACTTTTTTTAAACGTTAGTTTGACAATAATAAATATGTGCATATAGAAATTTTCTTTTCTTGTAAAAGTTCTTTCAATACAAAATCAAGTTTTTATGTAAATCATGTTACAAGAGTAAAAGGAATCGGTTTTAATGTACAAACTTATTTTGTTTATTGCTAAAAATTTTCAAATTTTGGGAGACTTCATTCCTGGGAAAATTTCTCATGAAAGATTTTGTCCATATTTACTGTACTTCAAAGGGCTCAAATAAAATATGATAAACGAACTGCTCCCCACAACACAGGATTGTTTCATAGTATCAATATTCGGCATGTTCAGGTGCTCAATAAAACTTAGCTTTATAATTCAGTATCTATACAGCATTTGATCTAAAGAAGAAACAAACCATTTGACAACATTATGTCATACTAGCATTGTTTTACTACAAGTCTTACCCAAACCACTGCATCTTGGTCCTGTTGCCCTGTACTGGGGGGTTCCAGGGGGAATCCACCAGGTTTTTCTTTCGTCTCTCCTCTAGGTTAATCAGGTCCATAACCTCAGATAGAGACTTCCTCTGGGCTGACTTGTTCAGGTCGTAGTCTTCTCTAGACTGAAATAAGTAAACATTTCATCATTTGAAGAAAATAATAATCAATACTCTGGTCTCAATGTAACCAATTCATACAAAACCAAAATTACAGTTCTTCAATTTGAATCTGTCAGAAATGAAGAAAAATTAGAAAGCAAAATCTTATGGTTAGAATAATGCATAGGGTATTTATCTAAAGTGAGAAACTGAAAAACAAAAAAAAAAAATCACCCAAACTTTACAAGAGTGCAGAAATTAACTCTGTTTATGTCAACCACTTTTGAAATACCCTGATAGAGTATTTTCCTTGTTCTACAAGTTTTAAATGTCATGGTTAAAACCCGAAGATCTGAACAAGGAAAAAATGCCCTAAAACAGCAATAGCCAACTGGACTAAATTCAAGGTTCCATAGAATTTTTTAAGGTGATTTTACTGTTATCTATAAATTCTTATAAAACTATTTATCCTCTTAAAAAGAACGATCCTTTACATACTGTCATGAGTCTGTGCCCCTCCTTCCTATGTGTGGATCCTAGCCCCAGATCAAAATCATGGGACTTGCTCAGTGCCAGCTCATGGTTCTTCCTAATGATTCCCCACTTGTTGTGGTAGACCAGGGCAGACTTAGGTAATTTAGGGTCATTGGGATTGGCGCCATGGAGGAATGCATAGAAGGACTTGTCAAGGTCATGTGGCTTCAACGAGGCAGATACCCACGGGGGACGGATCTTCATAGCTGTACCTAGTGATAAAGAGACAATGGTTTACATATGGAATAGATTAAACTTTTTCAATTCCGTAACAACAGTAAAGTAATTTCTGTCATCAATATAAGAACATTTCATTTGAAATGCACTTGTCTTTAATTAAGAAGTTTTCTTAATCCACTCAAAGCATATTTATCTAAATATACACCATACATAAATCTTTCATTAGTCTTCTTTTTCATCTACTGTTTTTAGCCCTGTCATAAATAGAGATTTTACAAGATTAATGAAGTAGACTTACTACTACTTGTGGGGGACATTCTTCCGGATCCCCGAGGAGTTTTTGGATGTTTCTTCTTCTTACTAGGAGACTGGTTCTGAACTGGTTTGGATTCCTATCAACAAACAGGACACACACAGATATATAAGCTTTATATTCTCATTTCCAACATTGGGGTAGTCGGGATCAAATGCAATGAGCTATATTTTTGGTTTCATCAGTGAAAATTTACACATATATTCAGATGAGCCATGACTTTTGGATTAAAAACATCATCAGTGAAAATGTGCAGATAAAATTAATAAAAATTATCAATTTTTTCAGAAATATCCAGGTAGATCTTATTGGCTCACCTGGATGTCCAATGCTGGTCTGTAGTCCGGGGTCTGTACACAGCCCAGGTAATACTTCTTCCAGGCTCCAAACTCATTGTCTGGGGCCTTGTAAGGCAGGAACCAGCCATAATTCAAACATTTAGGCATCCACACAACATCCTGTAAAACATAACCATGATTAAAAACAACTTTCAACTTTAATCTTAACCAGCAACAAGAAGTTTGTGAAATTTTATAAAATGTTACTTTTGTCATGTTTTCAACAGAATTATTTTTATCAACTTTATTCTTAGCAATATCATTTTTTCTAATTTTAAAATATGTTACTTTTGTCATGTTTGCTTATATCAGGTTTACATGTATGAAAAATTATAAAACTATTCAAATGTTATCAAAAAATGTGTGCTTTGAAATTAATACTTGAAGTTCATTTTTCATTGACCTTTACAAAAACAATAATACATGTACATATTATTGTTACAATCTATTAACAAGTGTTTACAGTTGTATGCAAAGAGTAGACATTTAATTAGTTTAGCTGACATTTTTAGATATTGAACATGCTTACAAGAGGAAAGTGAATTTAAAATCATTTCAATCCTACATATATTTCTTGGTACATCTGACCTAATCGAATAATGAACTTAAAGAAGAGTCCTTTATGTGGGGAAAAGAGGCATCTTTTAGTTTGTCACACCTGTTCAGACAGGAATTTCCAATGCCATGACACCTGAGCACACCTGCAGAGAGACTGGGGGTCCAGAAAGGAGAATATATACAGGGAGAGGAACTTCGGGAGGACGGTGGTGAAATCCAGGTGTTGTAGAGGGACGTTATCCTGGAACCAGTTCTGTACAAACTTATACTGGGGGCGTTCACACTGCTGAAAGATGGCCGCAAAAAATCGCTTCCTCTGAGAGTCCGTCCAAAGATCAAACTAAGCAAAACAGAAAAAAATTGATGATATTCTGATGATATACAAATTAACCTGTACATTTTTCAATAAAAAAAATTATTGAGTTTTTGACATGTTACCCTAAAAAATAAGTAATAATGATATTGAATGACTGCATTTGGTTCAATTCTTTTTTTTCATAATATAGTACAAAGAAATATTCTGAGTGAATTCAAATCCAAAGTTCAGATGTTTAAATGTAAAAAATATTAAATTATACAGTCTGTGTGACACATACCCAGTGGGAAATCAGATCCCTTCTTTCATTAAATATCTGTAAAATTAAGACAATGCAATGTCAAATTTACTACATATATCAGCTGAGATAGTCCATTTCATAAAATTCTCATTGAAAGTTATCAAATATAAAACATATATTCTAAGATCATGAACATAAAGATAGAGTTCTGTGTATCATTAATTTAGCAAAGCAAAGCTACTGTACATTATCAGCCAAATTTATTGAATGGCAGTTAGTTAGGCCATGCAAAGTTGATTCCATGGTTCTCAAGCCTTTTCAAGAATTATGATGAGGGAGAGAGGCATTTAAAAAAAAAAAAAACTTTTTATTGCCCCCAAAACATGATGAGGCAGCTTTAAACATTGTACAAAAGCTCAAAAAATGATAAGGGGGGTGATTTGTGTTTTTTTTTAAATTATTGATTTAGCAATAAAAAGGACCAATGAGGCACCCTTGGAAGAGATGAGGGAGGGCCTGAGAACCAAGAAATTAAATTTTTATTGCCGTATCTCCATTGACCAATAACCTGTTCATTTGCTGGCTTATTGACAACAGGAGTCCAGGCACTAGCATATGTCCTCATTTTATTGGTGTGGAATTTCTGATTTTCCACCACCACTTCCTTCTTCCGCATCGTGTTCTGACCAAGAATCTTATCATCATTACGCGTCAAGCGGCGGGTTGACGTTTTCATTCTTTTTTCCTTCCCCAGAGCCTGCTTGTCCAATTCCTCCATGACCTTCACTGAGCTTTATCACCTGTAACATACCAAAATCACTAATTTACTCCATCATTTATTGACCAACCAATCTAGTCAGTTATTAATTATCATTATACAGGATTATGCTAGTATGTGGTGTCATTCTTATGACAAACAAGAATGAATGTCAAAAAATGTCTATCGGGCAGTGAATTCTTTTCAGATTAGAAACTTAATTTATCTAAAAGAATGAGTCACTAACCCTAATCTCTCGGATGGTAATACAAGGACAAACGTTTAGACAAAATCCTATGTAGATGCTACATGAACTCTAATCAGTAAATAGTGTGCGAGAACTCACTCTAATCTCTCGGATGGATGCAAGACTAACCCTTATCAGTCAAATACTTGTGCAAGGACTTAAATTACCCTAATGTCTGAGGTGGGTGCAAGACTAATCCTAATCAGTCGAATAGTGTGCAAGACTAACCCGTGTCAGCTGAGTCAGAGTGACGCAAATGTTACTTTATAGTCCAACAAGCAGGGCATCTTGCAGATATGGGGACCGGTAAAGTAAAGTCTACCCCAACATCTTTTTTCAAAAAGCTTTTTACAGCGGTAAATATTGTATTTTTTCACACAGCAAACTTATTGGGGGGTGTTAAATATACTTGCACTTAATCCTTTACTCAAAGCAACAAAGAAATAGAAGGGAAATGATTTATAATATCATTATACATTAACGTATTTATAACTGTGACAAGGAACAATTCCTTTTCGCTGAACAGTTACTGAGACCAACCTGTACAACTGGTCCAAGCACTGGACACGATTTTACAGTGCATGTGTTGTGAATCTTCAATCTGATAATTTATGCATTTAGGTGACACGTAATTGAATACTGAATTTGCAAATCTTGATGCATGAGCAGGTTCAATAGTATGTGCGATGTAAATAAGATGCTTTGTTTACCTTTTAAACCTCCTGAAAATCAACCCGCCATTTTCCAGACATGTTTTGTTGACGCATGCGCAAGCGGTACGTTACTAAGCTGATTCTGGGGACCTTGTGGGGGAATTTTGGCAGAAGTAATTTGAGGCGTGAAAAACAAACCATATTAAGTTGAAAATTAAAATTAAAAAAAAGACGTTTATATAATATAAAATAGCCCAATCTTTTCAGTTAAAAAAAACAAAACAAAACAATAGGTAAAACTTTATGATCATAGACAGCTTGTTTCTGTAATTAATTTTTTCAACCCATAGTATCATAGTATCATAGTAACACATAATAGGGCTTCGTATTGGCCAGGAATTTCGTATTGCGATATTTTTAACTGTATTGCGATATGTATTGCAATATTTTCAATGAAAATTACATTGGCATTTTCTTATTATATTAACTTTAATTTACATGAAGAATGTACATAACTATGAAAACTTAAAGTAGCCATGCAAAAGGAAAAAGAAATACATCCATAAAACTGCTACTGTCTTACTCTTTGGCTTAATAACAAACCTTTCTTACAGTTTATATTTAATGATAAAATTCCTTAGTCTATGCATTTCGCCAATATATCGTTATTACATACACGTATTGTGCGATACAATATTTTTTGTCATTGTATTGCAATTTACCGAAATATTGATATTTTTGCCCAGCTCTAACACATATTAAGTTGGAAATGTGTTAAAGAAATAGAACAGAACTCGAATTTGGCTGTGTTACCAACTTAAAAAAGTGTATTAAAAAGGAGAATCAAATATGCACATCGAAAAAAAAATCATTAGCCCCCACCCCGGTTACGTCCAAATGTTCAATGTCTATATTACAGTGTATGTGTATCCTTGCCCCCCCCCCCCCCACCCCGGGTCCCAACGCCTATGAATTCTTAAGCTTGTCAGATCCATAACTTGTGAAATATTGGTGATAGTGCTTTAATTCATATTCACAAATATAATATATTCACAGTCATCTGGACCATCCTTTTGCGAAGAACTGTAGCTCTCTGAGAAAATTCGGGTAGACAAACCAGTAAGGTCTATATACATTCTTAAGGTCAGGCGAGACGTTCCTCAATATCTGTTTTGTATATCTTCGTAATGTATGAAAAATATTCGAAATCTTAATAATATTCTGATTTCTAAACCAGTTTCTAAATGTTTTTACAAAATCCAAACACTTAAACATTTGAAACTGGAAAATTAAATTTCTTCCCAAAAAGATTGTATGGGGAAAACTATCCCTGGTATCTTGCAGAAATGCATGGTAAGGTACCTCAATTTTTTGTGAGTAAACATGTTTAATTAGCAATACTTCAATGACAAAATCTTTGAAAAATTTATCTGTTATTAAGGAACGTCTCGTCTGTCCTTAAGGTGTCACAAGGAATAGTTCTACACCTATGAAAAAAGGAACTTCCTGGCACCAACTGATCAAAATTGTAGCCAGATTTTTTTTTCTTCAAAAGTAGGTCAAGGTCAAAATAAATGATACCCATGCATGAAGAGGGATCAAGTCACAAAACCCGCGGCGAAATATGAAAGCCCCAGACTTTCAAAGTTCTAACTTTATGACCAATTCTTAAAATAAGGTCAAGTTTGTCAAAAATAGGTCAAACTCAAAGCCAGGGTCAAAACTAAAAATTCTTGATACACAACAAAATGTCTTGTCACAAGGGAATACACATACGTAAAGTACGCCAAAAACCTTACACCAATCGTTTTAAAGTTATGGCCAAGAGTAAAATTCATTTTGGGGGGGGGGGGGTGTTGTAAAACTCCAAGGAGAATGTACAGAGGTCAACTATGTTGGTATAAAAAGAAAAGACATTTCAAAAGAAATAATTTATAATTGGATTTAATTAAGGTATTCAATGTATAATGAAGGGATTTAGAACGATAAAAAATTCAACTAGTTAAAACACATTGCTAGATAACGATAAAAGTGAAATGAACCAATTTCACAAGACTGATAACATGTAAGGAGACAGTCATTTTGCACATTAAAAGTTTTTGAAGAGTTATCTGCCCTTTATGAAAAGAAGAAAATTTTTGATTTCTCAAAATCTTTGTGGTAAATAACTCATTTTATTTTATATTTTAGTAAATAGGGAGTTTATGCATATTTTCACCAAGAGATTTGCTTGAAATTCAAACTAGAACTGTCCAAACGGGACAAAATACCCCCCGCTGGGTTTTTCAGCAGTAAGTTTTTCCATAAGAAAGATACGGACCAGACACAAATTATGAATTTTACTTCCAATGACCTTGAACTTCCCAAAATGACCTTGGGTCAAGGTCATGACACACCCTTCGGTCATGGGCAATCTTTGTGTGAAATGAGAACCTACCAAGTTTATCCATAAGAAAGATATGGACCAGACACGAATTATGAAATTTTTCTTCCAGTGACCTTGGACTTCCCCAAATGACCTTGGGTCAAGGTCATGACACTACCTTAGGTCATGGGCAATCTTTGTGTGAAATGACAACCTACCAAGTTTATCCATAAGAAAGATATGGACCAGACACGAATTATGAAATTTTTCTTCCAGTGACCTTGGACTTCCCCAAATGACCTTGGGTCAAGGTCATGACACTTTAGGTCATGGGCAATCTTTGTGTGAAATGACAACCTACCAAGTTTATCCATAAGAAAGATATGGACTGGACACGAATTATGAAATTTTTCTTTTAGTGACCTTGAACTTCCCAAAATGACCTTGGGTCAAGGTCATGACACACCCTTAGATCATGGGCAATCTTTGTGTGAAATGACAACCTACCAAGTTTATCCATAAGAAAGATATGGACCGGACACGGATTATGAAATTTTTCTTCCAGTGACCTTGAACTTCCCGAAATGACCTTGGGTCAAGGTCATGACACACCCTTAGGTCATAGGCAATCTTTATGTGGAGTAGTAGATTCTAATGTCCCTCTGTAAGAAAGATATTGACCGGACACGATTGCACAGACAGACGGACAAGGTGATTCCTATATACCCCCCCAAACTTCGTTTGCGGGGGGTATAATTACTTTTTTTGCAATATCTTATAAAAACATGTGCTGCTGATAGACTTCGATGTAAAATTCAAGGTGAATTTAACTGGACAATAATTAAAATTTTGTAAATGCATTTGGTGGATCATCTTCAAAATGCTACCATGAAAAAAAAATATGAAATTTTTCTTCCAATGACCTTGAATTTCCCCAAATGACCTTGGGTCAAGGTCATGACACACTCATAGGTCATGGGCAATCTTTGTGTGAAATAAGAACCTACCAAGTTAATCCATAAGAAAGATATGGACCGGACACGAATTATGAAATTTTTCTTCCAGTGACCTTGAACTTCCCCAAATGACCTTGGGCCAAGGTCACGACACACCCTTGGGTCATGGGCAATCTTTGTGTGAAATGAGAACCTACCAAGTTTATTCATAAGAAAGATATGGACCGAACACGAATTATGAAATTTTTCTTCCAGTGACCTTGAACTTCCCCAAATGACCTTGGGTCAAGGTCATGACACACCCTTAGGTCATGGGCAATCTTTGTTTGGAGTAAATTCTAATGTCCCTATGTAATATATATTGACCGGACACGATTGCACAGACAGACGGACAGCTAGACAGACGGACAGACGGACGGACAGACAGACGGACAAGGTGATTCCTATATACCCCCCTCCAAAACTTCGTTTGCGGGGGGTATATATATCAGATCATTCATTTATTAGGTTCCAATATGGTCGTTATACATTGAATATCTTATGTAATGATTCAAACAACGCAACGCATATATCGGGTTAAAGAGGCTCAGCAGTCATAATTTAAAACATTGACTTGTCCTTTAAGAGTTATCTATCTTTGCTTTTCGTCATTTAAATTTTTTTTTTAAACCTAATTCCAAATCTTTTAAAGCTTATTGTGCCATTCTTGATGAAACAAGATGTGTTTGTAAAACACTGATGCCCCCGTATGACAACATAGTGAACTTCAAGATCAAACTTTTCTTAAATGCAAATTCAATATATTGGAACCTACGCAAAAAAACCTAACATGGAAATACAATTGTGAAACATTAAGCCCTATCACCATTGTTTTTTTATGGCCAGGCTAACGTTTTTTCATAAGTGCAGAAATCTCCAAGATCAAGACCAGAAGGTCAATATTATTGTTATCCAATGAAAGGTATTTCCACAAAGAACACATGTGTGAAGTTATAATAACCATTCAAAAGTTATGGCCAAGGTTAAAAGATTTTAAAAGTAGGTTAAAAAAGATGAAGGTCAGAAGGTCAAGGTTAAAAGTATTGAATGATTTGTCACAAGAATTACATATGTGAAGGAGAAAGTCATTTTGCGCATTAAAAGTTATTGCCAAGGTTAATATTTTTTATAAGTCCAGAACTTTTTGAGGTTCTCAAAATCTTTGTGGTAAATAAAAGGTCTTTTATTTTATATTTTAGTAAATAGGCTCTAGTTTAACTTTTCAAAAGTTATGGCCAAGGTTTGTTTAAAATTCAAATTACTTTTTTCAAAGGGTAAAGATCTTGATAAAAACATGTGCTTCTTAAGATTACATATGTAAAATTCAAGGTGAATTTACCGTTCAAAAGTTATTGCCAAAAAGTTTTTCATTAGTAGTAAATTCTTGGGTCAGGGTCATTTTATTTAAAACTTGCCACAAAGAATATATATTTGAATATCTTATATAATGATTCAAAAGTTATGGCAACGCAAAAATAAAAAAAAATTGTGTGAAAGTGGGTAAAGTCGAACAAGGTCAAATTTGGTGTATATATAATCTTGTCACAAGAAATACACACGTGAAACATGAAAGTCATAGCTCCAGTAAATCAAAAGTTATGGGCAAGGTTAAAGTTTTTGCCGACAAACAGACAGAGAGACAGACAGACGGACACGACAAAAGCTTATTGTGCTATTCTTGATGAAAAAATAAATAAAATTTGCGATTTCAGTAGGGCATTGGTTTTTAGAATTTCAAAATTTTAAAAAGCTTATCTTCCTAGATCACTTTGCAGGCATTGTAGATGAATGATTGCTTAGACAGTTAAATCTTTTAAAAAGTCTCTCATACATCTATTCCCAATTTAAAATGTCTCTGATAAATGTCGTGGTATTTTATACAAGATGGATAAAAAAGGTATTAGAGAATTATGTTCCATAAGAGATGAAATACTATAATAATTTTTACCTTGGCTTGGATCCTTAATTCCGAAATCGATGCCCTTCTTCCATTGGTCAGCTGTCACGTGGCTTAGTAAAATGTGCACGCATGGGGACTTTTTGTGGACAACTTAATTACATCTGCTCAAATTTAGATTTCATGTAAAATGCTAAAACAATAAGGTCTGTTATTTTGCATAGTCCCGATGTTGTGAGATGAGTGGGGGAAACACGTTTATTTAATATCTGATAAAACATGTTAATAAAAATCAAAAGAACTTTAAAAATTTCTGTAGAAATCCTATATGCTTATATCTTAAAAAATCTCTATTATTGACAGATTAAGAGACACAATTTAATTGACCCTATGTTAATAAAATGATGCTAAAAGACTTCAGTTTTGTACACAAATATCGCAGAAAATATTAGACTGATCTTTTATCATTTTCTACAAGTATTATTTGCCCCTGTTCAGAAAGTTGAACAAATAAACAAAGTTGAACACTGAAGAGGCCATCAAACTGCGTCTTTTTCATCCCACGCTTTTTGAATATTTTTTTTTAAGTAAAGATAGTATGTATGAAGTAAAGGAAAATAAAAATGATTATTAAAAATTAATTTTGCAGTCGAAAATCAACAATATTCACACAATATTCTTTTTAGGAGTGATACGATTAGAGTTTACATAGAAATAATGCTAACAAACGCACGATAAAAACATTTAATAAACTCAAATAAGTACATCTAAAACACTTATTCTAAAACCTATACATAGCACTGACATTCAAATAAGTACAATATATTTCCCCAGAAATGAACCAGCTGCAGATTTGTAGCTCGCTGGTCTTAAAAATTGGATTGTGTGACAAAAGAGTACAATAAATAATGGACTATATTTGTTGCGCATAAAGAGTGAATATTTTTATACATTTATTCTTAAATTCAAGTCCATTTCTGTTTTATTTTGGAAGTATAAAAATATATGTTACAAACAAACAGTAACCATTGGTAACATTTCGCTATGACAGCCGAAACATAAGGAGAAATGAATCGATAAACGTCACCACTTGTTTGTGCAATGAGTATGGAATTTTATTTTATGGGTTGATCTTTACCTTACTGAATATTACATTTTATTCGATGGGTGGATTTTTAGCACTCTGGTCATATACTGCGTATCCCTTTTCTTTAAGACAACCGACTGAACAGAGCTACATACCTGAGCAAACTGAGATTGACATGAAAGAATTCACAAAAAAACACATGCTAACTGAATTATCCATTCATCAACAAGCAAACACATCTGTGAATTATGCGAATGAAGAAGTACCTTTTCTTCAAGTTTCTTTAAATGGAGAACAACTTTTCTGCCTGAGATCATCGAAAATTAATTATGCTTATATCAGAGTAACTAAGTTACATGTAATTGCTGGAAAACATAATAAAATATCCCCAAAATCTATCATCATACTCAAAGACGTTGAATCACAATATCAGTCTATGGCAGAATTGTACTTAACATAAAACAATAAACATTTTCAAACTGATCTATAGACAAAAGGCTTAGTTACATTTCTTTTCATGTTCACAAGTATTGGCAACTCCCCTTAAAGCAATTGTCTAATCATTAAATGTCAGTTAATGATCAACTTGACGAAGATATTCCTCCAGTTTTCGTTGATTTTCACTCAGTTTTTCTCTCAGCTGCTTGATTCTTTCTGCACTCATCTCAGATTTTGATAAATTTTCAATATCTGTCTCACTACTCACTTTGGCAATATCGTTCAACACGTCCTCATCTGCTAAATTGCCTTCGGTTTCAACTCTTTGTTTTTTATCTGCCTTTTCAACAGATCCTTCGCTATCTGGCGATCGAGGTCTTTTATGTTTTTTATGTTTCTTATGCTTTTTCTCTTCATCTCCGTAACCGGACGATTTTGGTTCTGTTTTAATCTTCACTCCTCCCGGGATGAAATAATATTTAGTCCCCTTGTTTACTTTCGATTTTGCAACACTTGAGATAGGTTCATCAACAGCTGTTTGGGCATCTGATGTTGCAGTAGTGACTGTACTAGTCGTTGTTAGCAAAGTTGCCTGAGAAGACAGAATTGTCGTCGAAGAAGAAGTTGGAGGCAATGTTCGAACAGCTGTATTTGATGCTGTTGAGGTTCCAATTCTTGCCGTAAAGTCAGTCATCTGACTTTGCAAAAGCGGTCTTGAAGGTGCTGGAGGATTATTTCTATATCTTGTTCTATATGTAAGTGCCACTGGAAAGGGAGCAGTCTTGTTATTTTGATTTGCTGCTCTAACAGCGACTGGAAATGGCGTAGAATGGTTTACTATTCCCAATCGAACATGACTAGAACCGACTGTATATGTAGCACTGACTGCAGATGGTGCAGACATTCTCATCGTTCCTGACTGCGGATTGAACACAGGAAGAGAACTGTTAAGTGTGCTACCTCCAGATTGTACACTTGTATTAACGGATAACGTCCCACCAACATTATTTACTGATACCCTGGGTAGAGCGTTGCTGATTTGGTTGAGCTGAGACAGCGAAGGAAGAGATGATATGGAAGCAGGGTTTGGTAAATTTGGACCAAGTGATGTCAAAGCATTTCCAGTTGATAGACTTAAGCGTGTCCCTAAAAGAGATCTTGGATTGTTCAGTGGGTTAACTTGTATTGCTGGAGTTCCCGAATTCGCAGTCACACATATGGGTACGGAGACAAACGAACTAAAGTTGACACTGGTACATGGATTTGGAACGAGGACATTTTGGCCATTCATCCGCAGGAGCAGATATCTATTTTGATTTGCTAAAGTTGTTTTAGGACCCATCGGATTGGCAGAAAGCACCGAGTTGTTAGCAAGCCTTGGGGTAGGATGCTGTAATGGTTTACTTAAGCTTCTGTGTGAAAAATTATTCAGAGCTGGTGTACTTTGTGGAGCTTTTTTCTGGCTCGGAATCTCTTTCACTTTTTTCCTAATTTGTAATCTCAACGCAGCATAAATGGATCGTCTCTTCAATTTCAAGTGTTTTTTCCTCGTAAGATCTTTCAGAAGCTTCTTCACAAATAATTTTCGACACGCTACATTACACTGCGAATCTTTTACTCGACATCCCCTCATTTTTGTTGGACGATGCGAGGTTGTACGTTGAAGAACAACAGAACAACCTTTTCGCAACCGTTTATCAGCCAAAATATCATCCGATATTTTAAGATTAATCGCCTCCGCCCAGAAATCTACTTCAGAGAGTGGCATGTTCTTCCCATTTGTGAGCCAGGGCTTAATAGGATCAACCGGAGCAAGTGAAAACACCGAGTTAATTTGAATGGGAGTTTCATTGATCTCCGTATGTGCCGTTGTGACTGATTGTGCATCAGCAGAAATGATGATCTTATTTGCCACTGTTGTTGAAAATCGACCCATTGCATTTGAAACTCGAGATTGTGTTACTGACGGTGATAGAAGGGGCGGGAAAGCTGCTGTTGGTAGTTGTGGTGTCCTTATGCTTTGGGTAGCTGACGATGATAATAATCCTCCTCGGTTTAGTGTGGATAAGGATGTGGATAGGCCTTGATGTTGTCCCGTTGGAACTACTTGCGCTCTTGGAACTTGTGGATCATTACTTAAATTTGGATTTACAATCCTGGAAGCAAGAGTTTTAGTTAGCTGCCCAGTTCCAGCAATAGACTGGAAAGGGACCTGTACAGTAGGTCTTGCTGAGACGCTAAGATTCTGCTGTGAGGAAGGAGTAACAGTTGGTATGTAATTTTGAGACACATTAAGTATCTTAGATGGTAAAACATTCGATGAAACCAGTGTTTGACTACTACATGTATTTGACATAATTCTTGTTGAAGTAACAGAAGGGATACTTGATTGAAATACTGCACGTGCTACAGTTTCATTCTGTTTCAAGTTCTGAACACCAGATCCTATACTTTGCGTATTCCTCGAGACACTATGAACAACTGGAGTTGTGTTTTGAATCGATTTTGAAATTGTCGACTCTTTTAGACTCTGTGCTATTGCAGGATTGCTTAACACAACAGTGACACTGTTTGAAGTGCTAGATTTGGTCTGAGTATTAAGGGTTTGGGAATCTGGAGTCGTTTTTGAAGACGTTGTAACTACCATTGACTTAGAATTTAATTTGGCTGCACTGTCTTTTGTGAACAACATAACCGGAGTTGGTGCCGCAGCGGTAGACTGAGGAGTCTGTTTTGGATTATCATTTTTCTGCGATTCAACCGGGTCAGTATCATCACAAAGATCTATAACAACTGGCTCACTCGAAGGCAGTGGAGGCTTAGTGGATTTGGGAGGCAGAGTTTTTGAAGCTGGTGTAGTCCTTTTGTCTGTCATAGGTCTAAAGACTGGCCGTAAGTAGGTACTGTCACCAGACACAACATGTTCCCATCCTACACCCTCTTTTCCAGAAGGTCCATTTGGCAAAACTGCAAACATTTTCCCACTGTTTGGCCCTTGTTCGGGAATCATAAAAACACCCATGGATCCATCAGGCTTGAGTCTTGCCATGAGACGATGTTTAAGATGATATTCTCCCAAAATTTTGGAATCTCCCTTAAGTTGAATGGTACCATCATTCCGAATCAAAAGGATCCCGCTGTCACTGTAAGAATAGCAAATTACTAAGTAATTCGAATAAAATTTACAAGCATGAAAGTCAAATTGGAATACTATAATGTAAATGGTTGCAGAAAAATCTCGTTTGAATATTTGATAAGCTCAATATCACTTCAATTGTATTGAATATCAACATAGAACTAAAATTTATGAGATTGTGTATTTGCATCATGAACAATATGTTATGACTTGTAATTCTTATAGTCGCCCACGTGCTGAGTGGTTAGAGCGTCTGCTCTAGAGTCGCAAAGTAAGGAGTAAGAATCCAACTTCGGGATGTGCAGTCCGGTCCTTCGGATGAGACCGTATAAACCAAGGTCCCTTGTAGCATTGAATGCTGGCACGAAGGCAATCCCTCACTGCTCAATGGCCCCGAGTGATGTAACAGATGTATGCAGAACAAAATTTGAAGATTTTGCAACATGTGAAGATATTTAAAAAATAACAGTCTCATGTAGTTGTATTTGTGTTATGATGAAAAAAACACGAACTCAGAGAATATGTGATCCCGCTTAAAAAATAGCTTGCGCAGATCCAGAAGGGAGGGGGTCGAAGGGGGGCACACGCACGATCATAGGGAGTTATGGTATGAAATTTCATTGCAGAAGACCAAAAGCTTCTTCAAATATCGCCTGTAAATGAAATTTTTACACAAAGAACTTATGAAGTTACGACCTTAACCTTCTTTTGACCTCAAACTAAACTAGTGCTAATTGTAACGGGGACCGTTACAGATGTTCCCCAAACGCTCCCCAAGTCCCTTTTGATGCCATATTCCCTGTAATCTCTATTAGATAAGAAATACTTTATGGAATTTAGACTTAATCAAGGTCTTCCCAAAAAATACAAAATATGTAGGAAAATGTAGGAAAAATATATTAAAAAAAATATGCATTGCACGCGTGTTCATGTGCGTAACGACCATATTATCTTGTCTACACTATCTAAAATTTTAATATACTTAAAATCAAAGCATTTAATCCAAAAGTATTAAAAAATACACTCATAGTGTATTTATAATTTTACTCATTTCACGTGCACGCACGCGCAAGCACGTGCATAATGACTACACCTTCTTGTAGGAGTCCCTTATATTTATCTATGTTCTAAATCAAATCCTGTTTGGTTGAAAAACAAGGGAGTTATAGCCATTTGAAGTTTCAGCCAATCGAATTACAGCACACATGCATGCGTGTGATTTCATAAATTTTTATCTTTATCGTATTGAAGGATATCTAAATGAATGACTATATTTTAAAATTCGAAACATTTCGTCAAAAAACAAAGGAGATATTGCCATATAAAGTTTCAGCCAATCAGATTGCAGCACACGTGCATGCGCGTGATTTCTTGATTTTTTTTCTATATCATATTTTAGGATATCCTAATGCATGACTATGTTTTAAATTTCAAAGCATTTCGTCAAAAAACAAAGGAGATATAGCCATTTAAAGTTTCAGCCAATCAGATTACAGCACGCGCGCATGCGCATGCTTTCATGAATATTTTTATATATCATGCTGTAGACCTTCATAATGTAGGACTATGTTCAAAATTTCAAAAGATTATGACAAGAAACAAGAAAGATATTGAGATTTTAGTTTCAGCCAATCAGAGCGAAGAGCACGTGCATGCGCGTGAGATCTTGCTATTTTGACCATGCCATCTTGTCTATACTACTAATGTGTCCTTACATTATGAGTTTCAAAAAAATTCATCAAGAAAAAGAAAAGTTACAGCAATATCCATTATATTGGTCATTTTGCGCGCACGTGCACGCTCTTGCAAGCACGTGCGCGCAAAATGACCTTCGTTCGGCAAATCTACATAACATGTCTACTGACCCTAAAAACATTTTACCTTAGTCGGATGTGTAGTTTACAAGATCACTCGTGGACAAAATTTTCCCAGGAAGAAGAAAAATAATAATAATAATAATAATAATAATAATAATAAGAAACAGAGTAAAAACAATATGTTCCCCAACTTCGTTTGGGGAACATAATAAGGGAAGATTTTTTTAAATGTATGACCTGGACATTTTACCCAAAAACACAATGAATCTTCCCTATGCAATAGGAAGTTGTTGTAAAAAATTATATTGCAAAATTTAAAAGCTTTTCGAGATATCGCATGGAAACGATAATGTTACAACTGACAGAAATATAGACAGACTGACAGTCAAACAGTGTGAGACTTGACCTAAAATCTCCGGATCCCACTTTCAGTGAAAGCAGGAAACAATAAGCAAACCAGAACAAGAGGCCAAGTAAACCAGAACAAGAGGCCTACATTGCTCACCTGAGTAGCTTCGCCATGCGGTTCTTTACGAGATGACCACTTGTAATACCATTTGTGACCCCGCCCTGCCCTCAGAGTTTGATTTGAACAAATTAGAATCTACACTACCCTAGTATGCTTTCGCATTAGCTTTTCTGGCCCAGTAGTTCTTGATTTTTAAAGATTTTTTCCAAATGACCAGGGGTCGTGATTTGAATAATTTAGATCTTCGCCCTAAATATTGGGGTCATGCTTTGAATAATTTACACTACCTAAGGATGCTTCCACATAATTTTCAGCTTTTCTGACCCAGTGGTTCTTGAGAAGATTTTTAATGACCCCATACTATTTTGGTATTTTCTTGATTAGCTCCCCTTATGGGGGAACTTGGCCCTTCATTTCAACAATTTAAACGTCCCTTCACCCAAGGATACTTTGTACCAAGTTTATTAAAATAAAATATATATTGCTCAACAAATATTGTCAAATGTGTTGAAAAGTTTTCTTAAAACGAGGTTAACACAGAATGAAGTGAGTAAAAGATCATAGGGAAAATCAGAAAAAAGTTTTCATTTGAAATTGACTGAACAGTCAACTACTTTTATCATGAACGGTTACTTAAAAAAACCCGAACTAAATGCGAGTCTAACGGACGGAAGTAATACAGGAAAATCCTAATTAAAACCTTATGTCGTGCCCATATCCACATGCACATTTTACTATATTGCGCGAAATATTGCGCAATGGAAACTACAGTCGGCCCCCTTAAAAATATATAAGAAGGTAATTCATCAAAGAATCTGTGTTCTTCGCTTAAGGGAAAAAAGAACATGCGCGGATCAATGTGGAAGGGTGGTTCTAGAAAGGGGGCATTTATGAGAACGGGGCTATAGGGAGTTATGGTATAAAATTTAATTGTAAAAACTCAAAAGCTTCTTGAAATATTACCCTGAAATGAACGTTTTACTCACAAAGAATGTATGACTTTACGACGTTGACCTTTAACCTTTTGACCTCAAATTAAATAGGGGTCTTCCATACGCCATATGGAGTTGTACTATACGAGGGGTTATCAAAAAGTTCGTGGACTGAGGCTACAAAATTAGTACTATGTAGTCTTTACTTTCAAAATTTATAAGGGACATAAAACAACAAAAGATAAAGAAAAGTTTAAAATTTAGCTTGATTCGTTCATTATTTGATAAAATATAATAAAATAAAAACGACAATATATGATTACCCGGCGCCGTCGCCGTTTAGTTTCATGACGTCCGACAACGTCATTGTTTTTCAATGTCCGCTTCTTTTACCTCATACACTTAATTTGATGAGATTCCCTGGAGCTGAGTAAGGACTTAAACCCGTCTTCTTTATATGACTTTTCAATGTCAGCGGTTTTAAATGCATATATTTACATCGACTGAGTATTTTCTCCTTTATTTCTTAAGAAAACCCATTGCGTTAATCACTGCATGAACTACATTAGGCATGTCGCCTGTTCAGATTTCTTGATCAGTGGTTGTTCCATCAATGAAACGTTTAAAGACGTTCGCATCATTAATACAGTAATTAATCTTTTTAATCCTACTTTAAATGATTATTTAAACAGATATGAATATAAACAATAAAATGCCTTTCTTTGTTTGTTATTACTGGAATTAACGATCGCAGCTATTGCAGAAAAAATTTACATAACTCACTTACGCGGGTTTGGTATTTTTTCTGCAACAGCTGCTTCCGTTAATTCCAGTAATAACAAACAAAGAAAGCATCTTATTATTCAAATAATATTGCAAATGGATTTATACATTGGGAGAGATCCTCGCTCGATTGTGCCAGCATATTTTGCTTTTGGGAGTTTAATATCAACAACATATGATCAGTCATTTTCAAGGACTTATTTGTTTGGACACTCAGAACGAAATGAAGATTTCATATTTTATGAAGCAATAGTGTCCCAACATATACCTGAATTAACAAGATTTTTGGATGTCAAATTTTCATATCAAAATAGTTTTTCTCAGTTAAACTTCGGTCGAAAAAACATCGTATTCGAGGTTGCGCCACCTGGGCATACCATAGCTTACAAAAAACAGAACTAATTTATTAAAAAAATAAAATTTATGATTTGCGGTTTATTCTATAGATAGAAAAGATGATGCTAACCAGATATTTTAAAATTCATCGATGTACCTAAAGCGGTTTTAATTTTATGGCGCCAGTCCACGAACTTTTTGATACCCCCTCGTAAATGTCCTTGCAAGAGCTCAGCTCAAAGGCATTTCGAGAAATCGCGCGAAACGAAAGTGTAAAACAGATTGATTTTTTTTTAAATTAATGACCTTGATCTTTAATCTTCTGATTCCAAAATCAATAGTGGTCTTTCTTTGGCCATATGAAGTTGTTGTGTATAATTTCATGCAAAATTTTACAGGCTTCTTGGTATATTGCGTGGAAACGAAAGGGTTACAGACAGACAGAACTTAAGACAGACGGACAGCTAGACAGACGGATCAAAACTAATATCTCCCAATTTCATCTGGGGACTAAATGTTAACTTTGATTAAAGGACACAAACATATTAGCTTTTAAAATTCAAAGATTTAATTTTTTGTATAAATACAGTACAGCCGAGGAAGGCCACGTGATTCCCGCTCTCCGTCGCGGTATAATACCAACGAGAGATTTGATCACGTGAAACAAGTAAACAACTAAATGCCCCGTTTCGAAAACTGTGGAATTAAAATCAACGTACCTAACTATAACACTAGTTCCACTAAATCGAGCTGAAATATGGCTGAAATATTGACAACTCGGCGTTAAACAATATCAATCAATCACTAAATCAAATGGAATGAAGACAATACAAGTTTTTTTTTGTTTTTTTGTTGTTGTTGTTTTTTTCTTAAATATACATCAGGGAGTGATTATTTCTGAACCTTTAATTATGTGGTCTTACTTGCAAAACAGATTTAAAAAAAAAAAAAAAGAACAAATTTTCAAATTGTAACATTTGTATTTACTATTTAAGTTTGAAACTTTTCTCTCTTTAATAAAAATGAAAGTATTTCAGAAGTAAAAAAAAAATCATGATGAAATTTTCTGGCAGGGGCATAAACATCAATTCACTTGTGTTAGGTGTAAAGATAGGAAATTAATGAAATATTAATAAATTTTAAGAATATTTAAAAGAAGAATATATATAAGTTAAAATCAGTGAATTTTAGTTATTTCTCAAGATTTTTAGAATTAAAAAAAAAAATTTCAATACAAACAAGTATACCTATCATTTTCACAGGCAACCTTTTCAAATATTGAATATTCTAATTACTCTTTGTACAGTATTTTTACAAATAAATATAATTCCCTGGTAGTTATCTTGACGGAAACATTTAAATACTATTGAAAATTTGGTAAATAAAACATTGAGAGGGTATGCATCAATGAAAAACTAAAAATGACATTTTTTGATAATAGATAAAAAAATGAAAACTAAAAATAAGATAAGAAAAGAAAAAAAGAATAAATAAAATTAAACTTCGTTCTCTTCACTAACTAAATGTAACAATATCTTATTTACAAAATTTTGAGCAACACAAAATAAAGTGTCAGACATCAGACAGCAATATTCTCTTATAGAATATGCTAGGAAAATTAACTTTTTAATCTAACTATGCTTATACCCTGAGGAAATCTCTTACCTGCTCATGTTGTCTTTTTTGCCTGTCTAGATCTTCACTGACGGGGATTTTCCAATATTACTCTAAAGAAAAAAAAACTCATATAGATCTAACTGCTTTTAAATAAATAAAAATATGTTTCTAAAATGAATGAAAAATATATCTTTAAAAAGATTGAAAATGTTATAGATGTATAATAATAAATTTGTAATATCGTTTGCACATAATTTTTGTTTCAAATGACGTCATCATGTTGTTATGACGTAATAATAAAATTACATAATTTCCGATAAAATTTACAACAATGAAAATCATTTTTTCAATGAAAACATTTTAAACATTTTTTTCGTACTTTAAATATGATAGTAAATTTATGTAATGTTGTTTCATCTCATAAATGTATGAATGTAGTTTCAACAACAAACATTTATCTATGTATATATGTACACATTTATATTAACACTTTTTTATATAAAGACCTTTCAGTTCATTATCAAACGTTAATTTAATTATGTAGGCCGATTATATTCATTTTTATTTGAAAATTATGCCATGTCCAACTTTCATCCAATCAGTGGAAAGAAAATTTTGTCCTCGTAATCATACAACCGCCCGGATGTCTGTGTTCGCGCCTAAGACAAACCTTTATAACAAAGAAATTGCAAGAGGTAAATGACATACTTACTTCTAAGAACAATATCTGTATCAAAAAACATCCTTTAGAAGATTTTTCAATCATTCACACGCATTTGTTTTCCTTAAAACGACGATTTTCAACACACCATGTTTGTTATCTCCTCTTTGAAAACAAGGGTTGCGTGCGCACATTCATTACCCATGAATCCTACAGACCACGTGATATGGCTATTTTTAATCGAAAGGAGTACAGATTGAGGTCATTTGCGCACTAATACAAGCGTCGAATTGTTAAACTATATAGTGCCTTCGATTTGCTTTAAACTTTACTTTTGACCTATTTCTTCTATTATTTAGTGACCTGGTTTGTTCTTTTATTTATATTTTTGAATGGAAAATTGTGTTTATAGTTTCTGATAAAGGTATATAGCTAAAATAAACATTTGTTCGCTAGAAAAGTGCTTGGGGCCCACGGCGGGGTCACAATGGATATATCATGATCAAATCAAACAACATAATTCATGCTGTATATTTTGCACTCATCTTAAAATAAGTTTATTCAGCAGTGTTGTTTTACAGAAAAAAAATGTTTACATCTTGCACACTCAGTAAAATCAAATCTATGAAAGAGAAGAGATCGTTGAAACAGTATGTCAGCGATATGTACTGCTTTGTCTTATAATAAGATATGCAGTCCTCGGTAGTATAGTGGTAAGTATCCCCGCCTGTCACGCGGGAGACCGGGGTTCGATTCCCCGCCGGGGAGGCTACTCTTTTTCTTCTCATGAATTTTTCTTATGTTTCCTTTCCTCTTCATTCTTTTTCTTTCTTCTCTTTTTCCCCGACTATAAAGCATTTTTTGGATTACATTGATTTTTTTTCTCTTAATTTTATCTTCATGACGTAGAATTTAAGGTAGAAAGAAACATCCTCATTGAGAATATCCTGGTGCCAAATCTGTAGCTGGACTTGAACTAGAATAAATTACGGATCGGTGGTCATGTAAAACATCATTCGATTATATATGTTTTGAATTTTAAACTGGAACAAAAAATCACAAAAAATTGAAGGGGAACACATAATGGTCCTCCGTCAAACTTCAATTATTTTAACAGTGACTTTAAAATTAAAAATTATAGTGCAAATCTCTTGCATGCAAGAATAAGAAATGAGATAAATATTGTCATACTAATCTATTCAGCACTACAGACTTGAAAAAACCCAATGTAAATAAATAAATTAACTGACAGGTAAGAAGCCTGTATAAATTTTAAATTCCTCGGAGCAATGTGAATTTTTGTTTGTGTAATATTGTTTGACGAAAAACCCTTCATAAAATCCCCTTTTCAATATTTCAAATCTACATTAGCTTTTCTTACTATCAGGATATCCAGTTTGATTTTAGAAAATAAATAAATTCACGCATTAACTAATTAGATTTGCATTAATAATATTCATGCTTTTAGGGCAAGGGTCATGAAAAAAGTAGTGCATATGATATGATATCCCACTTTGGAATGGTTTAACTTTTTAAAGTCTTAGCATTCTCCAATAAATACAGAGATAAAAATAGTTTATTTGAAAGCATATTACATGCATTCTATATTTTTTTTTAATTGATTTTAATAAGAATAATTTCAACTGTGATCAATTCAAAGATTTAAAATTTATAAAAATTTTAAGATATTTTGTACAGGGTATGTCTGAATCCACCCCCGGAACAGCTGCTTTTTTTAATTTACGACAAACACGTGGATTGCATTATCTTTGTTGTACTACATACAAGATTTTATTTACTAACAAGATCACTATACATCAGTTAAATAACATAAAAATAGCACAATAACACAATATGTAAAAAACATATATATATATATATATATATATATATATATATATATATATATATATATATATATATATATATATATATATATATATATATATATATATATATATATATTATATTTGAAATGGCTTTAAATGACAACAGTTACACCTGAAATTAAATTCCACTTTTTTTAACTTCCTCTGTTGTCAAGCGTTACCGTACGATATCGACCTTTGCTCTACATACGCATCGTCCGATGTTAATATTTCCTTGAGCGTAGTAATGAATGTGTGAATCCCCCATTCATATCGCACTTCATTGTCGAATTACTTCTAGATCCGAAGCATATGGTTTAAATCTTTCCGGTACTCAAGCTATAAATCTACTAATTGTTTTGGATTTTTGATTTGTATATTTCCGTTTATCTTTTTCTAGGCGACTTGTTGACACGCGTGGTAGCAGTGAGATTTAAATATGGTAATCTTTTTCTTTCATTGTAGATCGCGATCGGGTCATGCTAAATGGAACTGATCTTTGAAAATTAGTGAACGTCAAGTCAACGACCTTTTTCAGACGTTGCAATGCATTTCGACGAACTTCTGAAAGTCTTGGGAGAACTTGGACACTATCAAAAAACGCGTCTTTTCTTAATATGTCTTGTGTCCATCGTGTGTGCCTTCCATGCGATGAATATGGTATTTGTAGGTGCAAACCCAAAGAAACAATGTCAGATTCCGTACAGAAACCTGTCGTCTGCTGGTGTTGAAAATGTGACGTTTGATAGTTGGATTTCCTTCTTGAGGGAAGCAGACGAAGATGCATGTGAAATCTACAAGTCTGACGAAGTTCTTCGCTATGTTACTAACGGGACGTCTACATTCCAGGAACTTTTATCATCCCAAACAAATGTTTCTTTTAGCAAAGAAGAGTGTTCAGATTGGGAATTTTCTCGTGATGTTTACGGACCTACAATTGTAACTCAGGTGAGACATATGTGTACATGTACGTGTAGCATTTTGTATTAATAAATGAGAACAAATTATATAGGCTTACTAAGTTACATGTCTCGTTAATCGTCTGTACATTGTGCACAAAACTTCTATAAATAAACCACAATTAGCTAAGTTTTTAACGTGTGGTATAGTAAGTGTAAGAAAAGTGTTAAGTTAATAGTGCAGTAAATTTAAGTAGGGCGCGTAGGTTTAAAAAAAAATTGAGTGTGTGCCTTTTATTCATATGAAATATAGTAATATGATTGCATAGTATCGCAAAGGATGAAATGTAAGAAATACCAGACGGTAACAGAATATGTGCATCATAGTATTATATTATCCATAGGGACTTTATATACACACATTATGCATTGTACAATCGTATTTGCCGAAACACGTGGTATGATGATGGATACAGCACACACACTTATGCAGTAAACACACTTGCTTCTTTTTAATCGATAATTTTTGTCAGTGTGGAGAAAGTTCTGTTTACGGAATATAATAAAATATTGATCTTTAGTTTAATGAGTTCGTCCGAATCACAGATCTTAATTTAGTATTGATTTTCTCACTATCAGAAATCATGTAGTTCATTCAAGTTCATACTTGAGTCACAGAGCCTTTTCTATTCATATCATGTTTAAAAAAAATATTAGATAAAAAACTAGGTATTTATTGCTTTCTTTTATATTTAGAATTTCTTTCTTACACTTTTAACTAGAAATTACACAGAAAATATAAGAGACCATTATTGCACGTTTCACAGTAACTTTACACGGTTACAAGGTTTATTTCTCAGTCGGTACATGAAAATTGTTAAAGCCAGTAAATTAATGGTTCTGTGATGAAAAAAATCAAATATTTCCTTATTAGAGTGCAGAATCGTAGATTTAAGTATCTTAAAAAGCTTCTAGACCAACCTTGTGCTTTTAATTTAAATACCCAGCAAACAATTTTTACAGAAATAATGAGTATAATATATACATATTGAGAAATACCTGTATTTTATTTCCTCTAATTAATAGACAAGTTCAACAAATCACCTGTCAATGCTCGATTCATATTGAAGAGTTTTCACTTTTGTTAAGGCTGCCTAGCTGTTCAGACATTTTTGAATTTATACGGAGATTCTTAAACACATCAATAACTATTTTTGTTTAATAAAAAAAGAACGTACTTTTTCTTGAGCATTTCAGAAGGAATAAATGGCAACTGAACCGACCTTGGAAAAACTGGATATCTCTCTTTGATTTGAGGGGAATGAGGAAACTAAACCTTATGATTTACAGTATATCTTCCTCTATAGAGAAAGTCTTTTATAATGAATTCATATAAAATTTTATTTTCACAGTTTTACTTAGTCTGCAAGTCAGCATGGCTACGGAGTACTTCCAAAACGTTGTACTTTTTCGGCCGGCTTCTTGGTGCTGTTATATTTGGCCAGCTCTCAGACATGTGAGTAGTTTATTTACAAAGTCTCTCGTGCTATCATCCACAATATCTAAACGCTTTTTAAATACACAAATTAATTTTTATTTCTGAAGGGAAAAATTACTAATTGATTAAGGGAATGAACAGATGAAAGATGATAAAAAGGTTGTTAATACATGTAGACAGAGTGCTTTCAACGAGTACTCGATTAACCGTTTAATCGTCGAACGATGCGAGTATATCGGTTAGTAAAACTGCTATACGGTTACTCGGATCAAAAACATTTACTTGTTAATGTAAAGTCTATGTGCATATAAATGACAAAATGAAAACAAATTTCTTTATATACCGGTACCTATTTTACCGCTTGTGTTGTAGATTTGGTCGCCGTCCTATGTTTTTTGCTGGGTTGCTGATGTTGCTCATTGTGGGTTGTGTTGCTGCCGCCTCTCCGTCCATGTTTGTTTTCATTCCATTCTATATTCTCCAGGGAGCAGCCCAGACCGGGCTTTTCTTGGTTGCTTTTACAATGTGTATGTATATGACCTGTGTATATGGGGTGAATGACCCAGTATAATCAACATAAAATTAATCTTCTTTTTCTTGTGATGTTGTAAATTTTGTATTTACTGCAACCTGGTAAATTCAAAATTTACAACATGTCTCTCTATGAGACTCTCTCACGCGCACACTCACTTTTAATCAATAGCAACAAGTAATATTTAGAAATTCTTGCAAAATACGTTAATTCTAAATTCACTTATTCACATACACTCATGAAGCATCGCATAAATGATTTAACATAGAATGCAGTATACCTCATATAAATTTGCTTATTATTTTTGTAAACATATTTTCAACCTTTGTTAAGCAGGACTCGTAATTTTAAAGCTTTGACTGATAGCCTGGACGACACTCGAGGACAACGTAAACTTTAAGACAAACGACCTATTTTTGATTTCTTCAAGCTATATGAATTAAATGAACTCAAAGATATGGATGTTCAATTTTATCAAAGTGACAACCCTATCAAAGTGTGTCACTTCTGCAGTTGATGAACTCTTGAAATCTGACCAAACAAATCTAAAAATAGGTAAAAGGACAGAAAGGCTATCTTTTCTCTGGGATATCTTATAATAACTAAATATTCTTTGATGGTATCAAACTTAAGATTTAATTCATAGTTAAAAGAATAACGTCAAAGATGAGTATCTTGAGAACAGAATCATTTTCAGGGTGATTCTTACTACCGGGTAATTACAACTGGATTAAAAAAGACGATCAGCAAAAACCATAGTCACATATACATGTAGTATAATTCAAAAACGTGACCTTGAATACTAGCATTACATTACTCTTCAATGGTGACCTTTAAACCAGAAATGAAGGCTAAACTTAAAAATTGTCCTAAAATAAGATAATTTTGGCCCGCTCGGTGTCATTGACCGATAAGATTTCACCCTATACATTCATGATCAATATTTAATTTTTAACATGGATTATGAGAAAGACTAGAGATTTTTCATGTCCAAAACATTTTTTCTGTACTATTTCTTCTAATTAATAAGAAATCAATTAGATAATAAATTTGATCGTATAGTAATAGTTTATGTATCGAAGCATTGAGTTAATTTGTAGTGTTCTCTTTATTCTTGAAGATTTCGATATCTTTAGTTACAAATGACACATCAAATATATTATTCATACTTTACAAATGTAAATTTAGGTTATTGAAGTTAATACTTCATGCACAGTCACTGTACAGAGACAGAGCAAATAGTCAAAATATACCTGAATGTACTTTTAATGTTTATTAAATTCAAATTTAATACATGGATAACAGTACCGGTATATACAATAACTATATATTGGCATATTGAAATATAACTGTAACTTTGACTTAACAAACAATAAAATTTGAAATGAACACTTTTATAATTTATGGTTCTTACTACTTACTATAACATTGATTCAGATAAATATTTTCACTGCATAACAAAAAACACCCATTTCAGAAATAAGATAAATTATGACAGGTACTGAGCTAGTGGGGCCGAGTTACCGTGTACTGGCTGGGTTTCTGATCCAGGGATTTTACAGTATCGGGTACATGGCCTTGTCTGGAATCGCCTACCTCATCTACGACTGGCGATACATCGAACTGGCCATCACCCTACCCGTGGTGCTATTTTCCGTTTATCTATGGTAATCTTACTGTATGTAAAATTATTTCAGTTTCAAAATTTAATTTTAAAAAGTTTAAAATTTGAATTTTCATCAGTATAACCAGTAAAATGCTTAAGATAATATCTGAAACATTTTTATTAATAATTTCAAATTAAAAAGGAAAAATGATGTACAAATTGAAAAGGCGAAAGTGTGTTAAGTTATATTGTGCTTATCTTTCCTACTTGTAGTTGAAGAGTCCAAATAATCATTTTCAATATGATTTCATTGTTGTTAGTGTACTACCAGAGTCTATTCGATGGCTGCTTTCTAAAGGCCGGGAGGAGCAAGCGAAAGAAATTATTAAAAAGGTCGCTAAAACCAACAAAGTCGCCATCACAGAAAGCATGCTGGAGGGACTGGGTGTTTCCAAAGAGAATCCGAAAGACATCCTAGATGATAGGAAGTATACGTTCGTAGACCTCTTTCGACCATTCAAAATGCTGACCCTTTCTCTTAACGTTTGGTTTAACTGGTAGGTATGGGGTAATATGATTGTTTAATACACAGTGTCATATTGCTACTCAAAAGCAAAATATACGTAAAGGGACTATTATGTATAATATGACACCACTAGTAGATTTTGATTAATATTATACCTTAAAAACCATTAAATTCAAATGTAAAGAGGCACTTATTAGGTCTATCTATCTGTTTTAATACTTGCATATCGAGTATTAAAAGAGAAAGACATACTTTTGGATTGCATTTCAAAACTACACAAAACAAATCTGAGAAGAGGGCATAAAACAGGGACCTCTGGAATTTCCAGATGTTGGTTCAGGTGCCCTAGAGGAGAAAGCTTCTCTTGTTGACTGGTCATATCCGCCCAGATCCCTATGCATTAATAAGGTAGTCGGAACATTCCATAGATAGTCATATTCAGTTTAAAACAAAAACCTTTCAATTGTCACGAAATATGTCGGCCAAAATACAACTTAATGGTTCTATTTGCCACCAAGGTCATTATAACGACCATAGAATTTATGAAGATATCTATTTGATATACTACGTATGTTGTTACAATGCATTTTGACAAGAATATATCAGAAAAAGTTTGGCACTTAATTTAATTAGAATTATTCAAATATTGGTATCAGTCAGTTTCGAAGGACAAGATAACGAAAAAATATCAAGCTCAAAAGTCCATAAAATAATAAAAATAGGAGCAGTGCAAACAACGACCTCTAAAATATCAGAGATGGGATCAGGTGCCATGGAGGAGTGAGCATCCCCTGCCGACCAGTCACACCCGCCGTGTGCTCCTTGTCATGATCGGGAAATAGCGGAAAAATCCGTCTCAATTCAGCGTGTAAATAACTGACTTACAATTTGCATGAAAAATGCCAGTCAGCATTTGATTTAATGACAAATTGTATTTGCTGACAAGGTCATTGTATCGACCAAAGATCCTACGAAATGATGTATTTAAATGAGACTGCTGATATTCTAGTTTCATCAACTTGTTTGTCAATAATTTACCTCAATTTAAATAAATTGTACATATGTAGAGCATGCTCTTGCATATGGAATCAAATGAGATATATAAACTCCGCATGCAGGTGATGAAGGTATATTGCTGCATAAGTAAGGGAAGTTGAAGATAGAAAAGTTAAAGTCATCACGTTTATCATAGAGCTTGGTTGTTAGATTACCATTAACGACCATTACTTTTCAAGTAATATATCCAAATAATCCAAATATGAAACAGATGTGTCAGACTCTGTGGTATCTTTTATCTCAAGCTCACCACGATATATTCTATCGACATGAGAATGAAAATACCAATTTTTAATTGACAGTAGGTCGTCGGTATGTTTAAATGTCGAGTTGAAGGCCACAGCAAGTGTTTTCTTTTTTTCACGTATACGTATAAGATTTTGGACAAATTCTGCTTCATATGAATACAAAAAAGGTCTGCTAATAACGGGGCACAATTGGTACCAATGGGTTGTTGGAAGACCTGGTCTCCAAAAAAAAAAAAACACAGAAATAATTGTCAATTTGGATATTAAGTATAAAAAGATTAAAAAACAGTTAACTATAGTTAAGATGTGGGATCAAGTTGGCAACACAGAGATCCTTAAAACTGGATTGTAATTTGCATAAATATTAAATCTTCACATGATGATAATCGGAAACAACTAACAAAATAAAATAAGACTAATTGAACATAACTTAATTGACTTTTACACTTGACAATTCCCTTTTCTAAAGAAAAATTCTTGACATTTCTTTTAAAGGCAAACTTATTTTCAGTATTCAAAACGGTTTAAATTTCTGCTGGTAATATGTTCCATTCTTTGACTCAATTAAAATAAATGATGAAAATTTGCTTAGCATCTGGTACAACAAAATCTACATTTGAGACAGATCTTGTATGAAAACTATTTAAATTTTACCGAAGTAAAAAAATGTTCAGTAAGGTACGAAGGGGCTTTTCCTTGTCAAATATTAAAAACATGGTTGAGTCCAAGCTGAGAGACTCTATCTTGAATATTTAAGGACAGATGATACAAACAAATTTTTTCTTTGGAGAAGACTTAATATCATGTCTCAAGTTTAGAAAAGTGGATAATTCTTAGAATTTTTTCTCCAAAAAATTGGAAAATAAAATAGACTTGGAAAATATTAGTAAAAATTAGCCTATATGATAGTGATGAATTTTCATCATTTTTTTCTCTTCCTAAAAATCACCTGGGTTGTTATTTTTTTCTAAGGTTTATATTGCACTTTTAGCACCAAGGTAACATATTCTGAAATTTGTTTTCACCTGTAAACCTATACTTGGTGTGATTTGTCTATTATTTTTTGGATTTTTATTGAAATATTACTAATATTTTCCAAGTCTATTTCATTTTCCAGTTCTTGGATAAAAAATTCTAAGAATTATGCACTTTTCTAAACTTGTGACATGCTATTAAGTCTCTTCCAAAGAAAAAAAATGTTTGTCATCTGTCCTTAATAAATTTTATTGATTGAGAACTTTATAATTCACAGTTACCTGGGGACCTAGATTCAAGACAAATCGAACCATCTTGTTTTGACAAATATGTAATTTTTTCTTTAAGGTCTAGGAAAGCCCTGCATACCAAGCACAAAATGGTGACTTTAGAATCAACTATCTGTATATAGCCTGCCTCATTAAAAATTGATCGTATTCGGAGTATGGTCTTGAGTATTAAATAAGTTGGTAGTTTGGAAACACCATATGCAAGCGATAGCGGGATATCACTACATAATTAATGAAAGTTGACTTTAAAAAATGTTGAAGTCGTCATGTTTGTCAAACATTTTAATTATTACTTGGCCATTTTTGGCTATCGTCAGTAAAACATCCATATATGAAAGAGATGTAAGAAAATGCAAAAGCAAACTATATTAATTTGATATAATAATATTTACGAAGACATTAAAAAATGTAAAAATAAGAAGAAGAAAGTAGATAAGTAGATGTATTTCTATTAATAAACTTAAATTTCTAAAGTAAAATTTTCACCTATGCGTAGCAAATAGCATAATCCCGTGAAATTCATAAAAAAACTGCAAAATTCATGCATTTCCTCGAATTTTTTGTGGCTAAGTTCTGTTAGGAAAGTTAGTCTTAAAATTTGACATTTAGTGCAGGATATGAATTTGTGGGTTTCTTTTTATCAAGAAAACAGAACAACTTGACACCAACAAAGATTAGTGATTTCAGAGTAATTATATATAAATATTTTAGGAATTGGACCTTATTGAGAGTAAATTACGAAAATGTTTTGGGTTGTTCATAGACACAAGGGTATTCAGCAGGGTGAAAACGATAAATAATTCACCAGGAAATAAAGAGTCACTTCCTTAGGCTAGTCTTACTACCTGTGACTTTCTTATTTACTTTTAAGCTACTTATATTGTAAGCTTTTCTATTATATATGATGTTTTATGGTGTATATTTAACTTTTTTACATATTGCTTTTTACATATGGCTTAGCATTGTTTTTGGCTTAGGTTGGTGAATGCCATGGTGTATTATGGACTGGCCCTGGGGACAGATAACCTGGGAGGTGATCCCTATATTAACTTTATGATAGCAGGGGCTGTCGAGATTCCTGCTTATATTATGTGTGTATTATGTCTAAACCGAATCGGGAGGAAAAAGCCATTGACGGCTACCATGATCTTCGGTGGAATAAGTTGTATAGCATCTGCTTTTATACCAAAAGGTAAGATTTTTCATCTTCGAAGAAGGGAGGGCATATTGCTTTGCTGCTGTCTGTCGGTCGGTCTGTCGACTTAGTTTCCTTTCATTTTCTTCGCAACCATTACACATACTGAAATGAAATTTGGTATACAGATATATCTCATAAATATCTAGGCCAAGTTTTGTTTTGGGCACGATCGCACCATTTTTAACAGAGTTATGGCCCTTGGACTTAGAATAATTTCAATTATTTGCAGTTTCCGTTCATTTTCTTTGCAACCGTTGCACGTACTGAAATGAAATTTGGTATACTGATATATTACATGAATATCTAGGTCAAGTTTTGTTTTGGATACAATCGCGCCATTTTTGACAGAGTTATGCCCCTTGGACTTACATTTGCAGTTTCCGTTAATTTTCTTTGCAACCGTTGCACATACTGAAATGAAATTTAGCGTACAGATTTATCAGAGGTATATCTAGGCCAAGTTCTGTTTTGGGTACGATTGCACCATTTTTGACAGAGTTATGTCCCTTGGACTTAGAAAAATTCCAATTATTTGCAGTTTCCGTTCATTTTCTTTGCAGAGGTTGCACATACTGATATAAAATTTGATGTACAGGTTTATCAGATAAATATCTTGGTCAAGTTCTGTTTTGGGTATAATCGCGCCGTTTTTGACAGAGTTATGCCCTTTTTGACTTAGAAAAATTCCAATATGGGGGGAGGGGGGCATAAGTGTTTTACAAACATCTCTTGTTTTATAATTTAATTTATAAATACTTGTATCTAATCAAAATAAGCAAGACTTATTCTTCAGATTCTTTATCATTTTTTTATTTCACAGGTTGTAATCTGAAAATGGTCTATTTTTTAAAATATATATTTAACACATTTTGAAATAAAAGAAATTATGTTAATTTGCTTGGATAAGGAAGAGAAAATATGAATGTAAGGTCAGACGATACGTTCCTTAAATATCTGTTTTGTATATCTTCATAATGTATGAAAAAATTACAAAATATTTATTACTTTTTGGTTTCTAAACCGGTTTCTAATTGTTTTTAAAAATTGAAACACCAAAAATGTTATTTTGCCAAACTAAGTTATTTTCCCTAAAGGATTATATAAGAAATGCCATCCTCTTATATCTTGCACAAATGCCTGGTAAGGTACCTCAGATGTGAGTAAACATGTTAAAGTAGTAATTCTTCAATGACAAAATCTTGGAAAAAATTATATATAATTGAGGAAGATCTCGTCTGTCCTTAACAAATTTTTTTTTTTGAAAGATCTGGTTCCGCTAAAAGTGACGTTGGCAATGTTAGGGAAGTTCGGTATAACAGCATCATACGCTATAATATACCTAATGGCAGCTGAAGTATTTCCAACAGTAGTTAGGTAAGCAAGATTTAATCATAACTTCTAAAATATAAGCTTAATACAGAACAATTTAACTTATTTTGAAATTAATATTGTTCCTACCATTGTTTGTTTATCCCAATAATCTTCAACAACTAGAAACAAGTTGGTAGAACAAACTAAATTAGAAAAAAATATTACCTAAATATTATATTTTGTACTCAGGATTTTTCATAAATATCTGTTACAGAAATATTGGTATGGGTATCTCCTCAATGTCTGCCCGTATTGGGGGAATGTTAGCACCACAGATTTTAGAGCTAGGGGTCTTTTGGGCCCCACTGCCCCTTCTCTTGTTCGGCGCCCTGTCAGCTGTAGCTGGGCTTCTAGCACTAATACTTCCGGAAACAAACGGAAGACCTCTTCCACAGACAATTGATGACATCTTATATCCGGATAAACTGTAAGTCACATGATTATTTATGGCTTTGACGTCTTACTTCTGGATAAACTTAAGTCACGTGATAATTTGTATCGATGCCATCTTACATCTAGTTAATCTGAAAGTCACAGTTATTATTTAATATATTATAATAATATGTAGTAGCATAATGTATAAATTATAATGATCAAAATTTTAATATTTGAATCAATGCTCCTAAGATCGTGCCGTTCTCTTTTCAGAAAACATCGAGATGATATGACTTTGGAAATAAAACAGAGCGAAAAGAAAGACTTGGAAGAAAGAGTATGATGGATTTTGCAATGCCCCCTTATTTGCTCAGTGTCATTCCAGGATTAAAAATATATTTTTTAAGATTTAATGAATATTTTCTTATGTGCAATGTTATAAATTATTATACACTATATTGAAAAATGTTTTTCAGTCGATTTGCCTATAAGAATATATGAATATTTTTATTTTAAAAGCAGCAAGCAATACATATATTTGCATTTATGCGACCCTCTGACGATGCCAAAATAATTTGTTCAGATATTTTACATTTTTCCATATTTTTGCTTTAAAAATATCTAGAACAGTACATTTTTGAGTAGATGTAATCGTACTTTCATTTACCTTTAAACAATGTTTACAATGATTTTAATGTCGAGGAAATAAATATAATAATTTCAGTCAGCAAACTGTTTTCTTATTTATCAAATGGTAACAGAAAATCTCCATTAACCTGTCAATTAAAGATTGACGTTTAAAATAAAACAACAAAAATGGAAAATAAAAGTAAAATTTTCTTGTACAAATATAGATATAGAAAATAATTAACAGTTGTTCAAGTTTAAATATTTACTTATTGATATGATTTTTGTATCATGCTCATTTATATTATTTCCCTAAACCTGAATTGAAGAGGCAATCATAACAGTTATGAATACATGTATCTCTGATATTCAACATCTGTTAATTGTGTAAACACAGACAAAAGTGTTTGTAAAAAAAATATTAGTTGAAAACACGTTTAATTATCTTATGAAAGAAATCTTAAATTTTAAATTCCTGATCAATTTATCAGATAATACATTATGTATGATTATTTAAATTCTAGTGATTGATGATCAAAGTTTAGTTATTGAGATGAATCTCTTTTAATAACAGTTTAATGATTATTTGTCCTAAAACTTCTTTATAAAGGTATATATAACAAGAATGCATCCTCTGGCTTTAAAAATGGAATCGACGACGATAGAGATCTTTGGCAGCTCTTTGAAAAAAATTAAGTGCGTATTTATTGCACACAAAAAATAGTGCGCTGTTCGAGTATTAATTTTACCATATGATTTCAAATTATACATAAGAACGTGTTCCTATCAATTCTTTCACTACATCTTACCATACCAAAACGACTGTTCAAATAGGCAACATTTTTAATGGTCTTAATCCCAGACCCAGGTGAATTTTGGGAAACGTTTTATTGTTGAAGTAGAAAAAGACTATATTAGGAACACACGATTAGTAAAAAATGACAATGATGTTTTAGGTAAATTGAGAAATAAATCAAGATAAATTCGCACGTTTTTGCGCAATATGCACTTTTCAAGTGGGTGGTTTTATACCTCTCCTGTCGTCAATCTTCTTTCAGTCTAGCGAGCTGCAGATCTGTAGGTCCGATTCGAGATCGTTTACTCCACAGTCAGAGTTTTGTCAAGAAAATAGGACTCTTCTTTAAAGTAATTGACAGAAAAAATAGGAAAAACCCCTTTCCTACTGGGTCCGTTTTTCTTAGTGTTCAAAGAGTTTTTTTTCATAAAATCTGTACAGTTTGATAACATTCAGAGATGAATTTTTTGGTACACAGAATTATTTATTAAAAAGATTCACCCCATTTAAGACGTATGTACGTAATAGTTTCCTTGTTATGTATCGGGTAAGTATTTATCGCCTCTACATCACGTTCACACGAATGTTTATTCCTTTTAAATATTAAACAAAAATAATAAGAAAAGAGATTTCAAATAAGCACGAGTTATAGAACATTCCTTGCCCTTTTCACATTTTTGCTACGCAGGAATGACATAATTGAAGGAGGTATATTCCTTTGAAGCAGTGTTTATTAATATAAATCTACATGAGAAGAAAAGAATGCTTGTGGTGGCCTTCAGTTCGACATTAAAATATAGATGACGTTTTATCAATTAACAATAGGTATTTCCACTCATATATCGACTTAACGTATGAATAAAAAACAATATATGAATTGAAATAAAAGACACTAGAGAGTGTGGCATTTGGCATTGTATGACAAACGAAATGACTTCATCTTTTCCATTGCAACTTTCCTTAATTGTGTGGAAACATTCCATTTTCACCTGCACATGGTGTCCCAACATATTTGCTACTCAAGAGTACTAGTATCCTCTGAGTACGAACAGTTTTGAAACGGAAGCAGGCTAAATACACGTAAGTTGATGTTGCGAGGACCTCAACAGCTTCGTTTTAAGTCAGTTTTTCGTAATACTTTGGACATTATAATGACCTTTATATGATGTGTTTCATAAACATTGTTAGGCCTTTGTGTTTATGCTAGTTCTGCTATACATCAAGTAGGAATCACAGCGGGCATGGCCGGTCAACAGGGGATGCTTACTCCTACTTGGCACCTTATTGTTTATGAAATATTCACAAATTTGTATTGTTTGTTGTGTTGAGAAAATCGGTCGTGGTTCGTTATTATCACCTTTTTATTTCCTTTTGCTAATACTTTAAGAGGTCCTCTCTGCTCTGGATTTCTATTGTTTAAGGACAGACGATACGTTCCTCAATGATATACATATTTTCCCCCAAGATATTGCCATTTAAGTACCGGGTATTGCGACTTCAACCTGTTTACTCACAAAAAATAAGTATTACCAGGCATTTGTGCAATTTACCAGAGGTATGCATATCCTATATAATATTGTACTTCTGAGAAAAAATTATTTGCCAAAATAAAATTTTATAGTGTTTTGATTTCTTAAAACAATTATAATATAGAAACTGCTTTAGAAAACAGAAAGAACTTGAAATATTGAATATTTTCCCCACATTATGAAGATATACAAAACAGATATTTTAGGAACGTATCGCGTGACCTTAAATCGACTAATAAGCTTGATATCTGTTCGTTCTCTCCATGTTTCACGTATAATTTTGCAACTGTTGGCCGGTGTAATCTGTGACGACCTTTGGAAAACATTTTTATAAAATTCTATTAATCTCGTGAAAACATCTTTATTGGAAGAGACATAATTTTAAAATTACAAGGAAAGCCATACAAGGACCAAATGTATGCCTGCACAACCACACCTTCAATGGCCATGGTTCGTAAATGGTCATAATTCATCCCACTGTTTTCTGTGAATGCAAAGAAAGGAATACAGCCTTTTCAAAAAAAAATCTGTTAAAAAGTGTGAATACAGTTAACAGGATTTCAGAAAGTAATGTCGCAACTGCTAAAATTTCTTTGATGATAAAATTTTACCAAAATCGGCCATATTTATACCCCAGGCTAGTTTAGTTCGTGCCTCAAAACATTTTTTTGAAATATGAAGCTAAACACAACATCGTTTTTTATGTTACAAATTTGTTTGGACATTACATTTCAGTGCAAGCGCTTTTGTTATCAGCATACCGGTATCTTTTTGACTTCTCAGTTGATCTTTTTCAATAATCTTTCCTGTCATTTTTCCACAAACTTCATCGCTGATTTCATGTTTTGTAATTATTGGAACTTTGTCGAAATAAGACTCCGAAATTCATTCCTTTTTGCTTAATAACATTCTAATAGAATATTGATCATATCTGAATAAATTTTAGGGCAAAAGGGCAAAATTTGATGGAGAAATTAATACCGGGTATATAAAGTTTTTCTGAACTTTCCACTAAAAAAGTTTTATGGCAATTGTGACACTACCCTCAATAAGTTTTATGTAGGGTTGCATCCATTAATCATGATCACAATAAGCAACAGATTGTAGGGGTACCTAGTCCTCTAAAACTATATTTACAAAGATATTTTCAATGTATTTCAATGTATTTTACTTATACATCAAATTTTATGTCAACATCTGTAACACTTTTATTATGTAGACAATTATGAAAGGAAAAATTGATAAAAGAACGTCTACTGTTTAAAACATAGTCGTGTGTGCAATAAGTGCTTTAGAAGAATATAAAGAGTATATAATGCATTTTAATCTTTTCTTTACTGCTATTTTCATAAAAATCATCAATTTTGAGAGGCTGTGGAAAGAAAATCATTATCCATTTAAATTAACATACATCAATACCTGTAAAATAATAAATCTTGATTTTAGAACATGAAAGGGAAGAGTACCCCTTTGTAAAAAAAAAAATCATGATGAATTTTTAAAGATTTTGTACACTGAATGAAATAAACTGGTGGAATCACCTCTAAAGTACCATTTAGACGATTTTTATTACTTTTTGGTTATGACAGGTCACAAATAAATCAAAAACTGATCATGAGAGATATGTTTGGCAAATAATACACTGTACAAAAGATAATCAGCCAATGTTTATCTAAGGGAAAACGTTATTTTACTGAATGGTGTTACCCCCTAAGCATGAAAAGTTCTTCTGTCCACACCTGGTCAACTTAAAGTACAGAAACAATATTGTCAGTTGTAAAGAGGACATACAGATGTTTTTCATCACTACTGTCATTAAAATTTTGAGAGCAGTTTATTCAATTATAGACGCAAAAACATGATTTAATTAGAATGCATAACAGACATCAAATATGTTAAAATAATAAAAATCAAACGTTTATCTCTTCATCTCTACTTCTAATAAACTGCTATATCTATCATTTGTCTCATTAGATATGACTGCAAACACAGGTCACGAACAGAGCTTAAATTCTAAATAAAATAAAAGTATGAATCACTTAATATTGTACATGTAATATGATGAAAAGCGAACACTAACTTTCACGACCACAAGTCCATTTCAACAAAGCAAATCAGGAGTAGAACAAAAAAAATAAAGGTCTAAACCATTAAGGCTGGGATCAGGTGTCATGGAAGAGTGAGCATCCCCTGCCGACTAATCACGCCCGCTGTGTGCCCCTTGCTATGATCGGGATACGTAAACATGCAAATATTTGTCTTTTTAGATAAAGATTCAGTATCTTTTATTTCAGAAAAACATAAAGATGTATTTCCTGTACAACTCGATAATATCTGAAAAAATTTTGATTTAGTGTTCAGACAGACATTAAAAGGTGAAAAAGTTAGAATAACACAAACAAAAGAAATCTCACTATTGTAGATCACAATATTTTCATGACGCATCGCTAAAAAGACATTTGTTAGAAACACAATTTTTAAAAATTAATTTTGATATTGTTGTACATAAACTATTGTATTATTTCAAGAATTGCAAATTGTTTGAAACAAATTGTTTGATGAATAGCATTTAAAGAGGCACAGGAAAACTATTTAGAGGTATTTTCCTTAATGTAGAAACCTCATACAAACTTTTATAATCTTAACTTTAAATTTTTGGATATCAATGAAATCAAAACGCTAAATCAAATCACATTTGGTAATATGGACACAGTAAAAAAACCTATCAATAATAAAATCAAAAGCGAATATTTATTACAGAAGTAATGTCCTCAAATTGC